ACTGTTCATGACCCCATTTGGGGTTTTCTTGGCAAAGATGCTGGAGTGGTTTGCCATTTCCTTCTCCAGCTCATTTGACATATGAGAAAAGAAAACTGAGGCGAAAAGGGTTAAGTGACTTGTCCAAGGCCATACAACTAGTAAGTGTCTGAGGCTGGATTTGAACTCAGGTCTTCCTTGACTCCAGGATGGGCTCTCTATCCACCGTGGTACCTCACTGCCCACTTAATCTCTGTTTGCCTTAGTTTCCTTATCTGTAAAATGGGGCTAATAATAGCACCTACCTCTCCAGATTGTTGTGAGGCTAAAATTAGGTAGTATTTGTAAAGTTTTTTATAAATCATAAAGCAGTATATAGATTCTGTTATTATTAACCATAGCAAATAAGCATAGTCAAGAAATGAATCCACGTGGTGGCTATGCCACAAAATATCTCCTTCTGCAGTTTGAGCCCGTGACCTCTCCGTTAGGAGGTGGGTAGCATGTTTCTTCATCAATCCTCTGGGGACGTCCAAGAACACGTGGTAACACACAGTATAAATGTGCGTTATCTCTATGTACAGCTTAGTGTATGCAAAGACTTTATTCTTTTGTCCTTGGGGACGTGGAAGAACAGAGTGGTGCCATCACTCAGCATTGCGGCTTGTGGCCGGATGCCATGGCCGATGAACGTGGAGAAGGACCGACGATGACTCCCTTGGCAGTCACCATGCCCTAGTCTGCTTCTCTAGGACAGGACAGCCCTAACAGGGGGAGGTGGGACTCCGGCTGCTCTGTCTGTGGTAAGAAAATCAGAATTACAGCAGATTGGTTCCTAATGAACAAACCTCCTCGGGGATGTGGCTGAGCAATTGCATACCAAGCAATCTGGTATGCAATACTTCCCACCCAGGATGCCACAATTTAGAGAGCCCTGCAGTAGTGTGTGGGTGAGGAAAGAGGAGAGGAGAATACCAGGAAATGAGGCTGGGAGGAGGGCATTGCTACAGGAGTCCTACAGCAATAGAATTATTGCATAGATAGAATCCTTCCCGCCCATTGGGAAGGGATGGGGCAAGGGGAGAGTTTATAGATTCAAAGTGTCTGGTAAAATAGTAGAATGCTGCCTAGAAAGGGTCCTTAGAATGTAGGATGACAAGGCTAACAGGGACCTTTGAGACCACTGAGGTTTTTTGGAGGGGATGATTGAAGCTCCGGAGTTCCCTTGCTCACGGTCACAACTGCCTAGGCCTAAAAAGGAACCTTAATAAATGCAACCAAGAAAAGTTTGTCTGGCTCTGGATTTTTGTGACTTTTTAAAGCAAAAATGAGGGCCAGACATGGGACATGACGGAGTTATGGCCTGAAGGTGGAGGTTGGCTTATCAGTTTTTGAGGGTCTGCCGCGTCAGATCCATTGAGTGTTCTAGGACGGGGAGATAGAGAGAGAGACAAGTAGGAGCTGGTGTTTCCTAGCTCCCCACTCCACAAAAGAACATAGCTGTCTTATGAGTTAAGGTTGTAAGTCTCTAGCTTCATTCGGTAAGCATGTATTAATCACCTATGTGCAAGATAGGAGCAGCTGGGTGGCAAAGTGGATAGAGCTCTCCAGGCCTGGGGTCTGGAAGACTCATTTTCCTGAGTTCAAATCTGTCCTCAGACACGTACTAGCTGTGTGACCCTGACCAAGTCACTTAACCCTGTTGGCCTCAGTTTCATCATCTGTAAAATATACTGGAGAAGAAAGTGGCAAACCACTCCAATATCTCTGCCAAGAAAACCCCAGATGGGGTCGCAGAGTCAGACATGACTGGAAAATGACTGAACAACAACAAATAGGCAAAGTGTCGTTTCTAGGTGATGGGCGTACAAACACAAAAATGAAACTCTGCCATTGAGGAGTTTGTTAAATTCTACTGGGAGTGAGAGAGGCAGCAGGGACAGATAAGTCAATAGGAAATATATGCCAAGTAAATACGAAGCAGTTTGAGGGGGAAGGGTACTAAAAAACTAAGCTGAAGACTGGGTTCAATATTGGGTAGCTGACTTAAGAAGGCCATTTGCTCTTTTTGATGGGTTTGCTCTGGGAAAGTCTCCAAATGTAGCTTGGATATTGCTTGTGTCTAAATTATGGGTAACAAAGGTTACCCAATCCCATCTAAGCACTCAAGGTAACAAACACCTATCGGGTAGAGGACAGCTTTTCATTTCAGCCCATATAAATTGCAGAAAGTACAAGGGATTCACAAAAGCCCATAAGCTGATATAAAAAAAATAATAAGATACTCCCAGTAGCCCGTGAACTTCTGGGCAACATGCTGATATTCTAGTGAATCACTCGTTCTCCTACAAGGTCTTCCACAGTCCTCTGAAAGATTTATGGTTATCTTATTGTGGATTAGAACTTTCCTTAGTGCTATGAAACAAGTAATGCCCTTCCTATTAGATATATGTTGTCCAAATAACTCACTGTCCTGTTAGGGGGGGTGAGAGGGGGAAGAGGAGCAAGGCCTCAATCTCTTGCAGCCCCATGCCCTCTCTTCTCCCCTCTGTTACATGACTTTAACTCTTAACTGTACCTTCAGCTTTAGGGACTATATGGGAAATCCTCTTCTTTTTCCAGGAACCCAGGTAAGGAAATTTTTTCCTTTATCTGGAAGATCTGATCTCCAAACTGTTAAGCTTGGGGTTATTCTCAAGGTCATCTCTAAGGCTGAAGTTACCCAAGAAATCTTCCTTTAGCTAGAAGGCTGAGTTCTGGGATCATGCTTCATGGCCCCATTTGAGATACATTTCAGAGGCTGGATTTGAATCCAGGTCTTCCTGGCTTCAAAGCTAGCTTTCTATTCACTGCTCTATGCTGCCATGTAAAGGATTAAGAATTTAAGAAATAATCCTAAGAAGGATGAAGAGTCAGACTGAAAACGACTGAACAGCAACAAAAATGAGGGAGGAAAAATGTCAAGTCTAGAAAGATAGGTTGGAGACACAAAGAAAGACGTTTATGTCTTCTCTTACCAGCAGGAGGCAGTTACTGGAGCATCAGAAGCAAGGAAGTAACATGGCAGTCTCTGTACTATGGGAGTATCAGTTTGGCAGCTGGAAGGAGGATGGACTGGAGAGGAAAGAAGTGAGGCAAGATGGCCAATTAGTAGGCTTGACCCTAGGAGGGTGGTGGCCATGTGAGTGGAGAGAGGGTGACGGAGACAAGAAATATTGCAGAGAGAGAATGGACAGGGCCTGGCAATGGACTCGATATGGGTAGTGAAGGAGAGGGGAAGGTCAAATGATCACTCTAAGGTTGCAAACAGGAAGGGTGGCACCCTTGGCAGAAATAGAGAAGTTAGGGAAAGGAGTGAGTATTTTGGGGAAAACAATGCATTTTGCTGAGTTTTGCCTAGCTGGAGACGTCCAGTGAACATTTGGTGCTTTTTTTTATGTCCTTAGCACTTACCATGACACCTGGAACATAGTAAGCTCGATAAATACTTGTTTATTCATTGATTGGTGGGGATGATGTGAAAATAGAATTTGGAAGAGAGATTAGGGCTGGATATGTGGCCATCTGCATAGAGATGATTGAACCAGTGGGAATTGACCCTTTGAGAAGGTAGAGAGAAAAAAGAAGACCCGTGAAAAGCCATAGAGGGCTCCAAAATTTAATAAGAATAAGAATAATTGCTACCATTTATATGGGGCTTGCTGTGTGGCAGGCACTGTGCCACAAGCTTTGCAAATATTATCTCATTTGATCCTCACAACAACCCCATGAAGTGGGTGCTGTTATTATTCTCAGTTAACAGCTGAAGAAGCTGAGGCAAACAGACATTAAGTGAGTTGCCCAAGGTCACACAGCTAATGAGTGTCTGAGACTGGGTTTGAACTCAGCTCTTCATGACTCTGGGCCAGTTCTCTATCCCCTGGGCCACTAGTGGGTGAGACATTGATAACTGATCCCACGAAGGAGATAAGGAGAAATTAGACGGGAAAAGTAAGAGAGCAGTGTTACGAAAATCCAGGGAAGAGAAAGTGTCTAGAAGGAGGGCTGGTCAATAGTGCTGTAGGCCGCAGGGGGGTGATGGTAGAAGAACGTTTGCAAAAGGCTGTTGGGAGCTGGCAATTAAGCACTCAGTGGTGACCTTGGGGAGAATGGTCTCAGTTGAGTAGTGAGGTTGAGAGCCAGATTGTGATGGGTTGGTAAGTGAGAGAGAGAAAATGGAGGGAACCGCAATTTCTTTTTAAGAAGTTAGGCTGTGGGGCAGCTAGGTGGCTGAAGTGGATAGAGCACTGGCCCTGTAGTTCAAATCCGGCCTCAGACCAAACACTTGACACTTACTAGCTGTGTGATCCTGGGCAAGTCACTGAACCCCAATTGCCTAAAAATAATAATTTTAAAAAGTTAAAAAAAAGTTAGGTTGTGAAGGCAAAAACAAGCAGAATGATAGCTTAAGGGGGTGACAGGCTCAAGTGAATGGGAGTGAGGTGGGTTTTTTTGCTTTTTGTATTTTAAAGGAAGTGGGAGATCTGGGCATTTTTATAAGCAGTAGAAATGGAGCCAATGGGTGGGGAGAGATTAAAGAGCTGGATTCAAAGGGCAGGTCCCAGAGGAGAAAGGAAGGGAATGGGATAAAGGGCACAAGAAGAGGGGTTGTCTCTGTTAAAGAGAACCATTTGTTGGTGACAAGATCCTTGTGAGATTGGTGTTATTATTATCTTCATTTTACAGGTGAGGAAATGGAGGTACACTGAGGTTAGGTGACTTGTCTAGGGTCACACAGCTAGCAAGAGTTTAAGGCAAGGGTCAATCTCTTCCTGATTCCCAAGTCCAACACTGCACTTCACTCAGATGCCTTGCTAAGTCCTCTCTCAGCAGCATCCTTATGAGGAAGGTAGGGATTGTTATCTTTTTATAAGTGATGAAAATGACCTTTGGAGGAGTCAAGTCTGGAGTCTGTGGCAAGCAAGGATTACTGGTAGCGATGGAGATGGTGATTTGATTTGCACATTTGTGTGTTCTTCCAGATGCCTTAGGACAATCTGAAGATGTCCTCTGGGTCCTGCGCTTTGTAGTCAGCATATTCCTGGTGATTCTGGTACCCTCAACTGCCTCACTGAGGGTCCCCTCCCCCTGACGAGTCATCGTCTGCATCATGGAAGCCCCTGATGCTGCTGTGGCATCTCTGATTGACTTTGACAGCGAGCCATCCACCTTGGCTGCCTCCGAGTCACCCCCTTCGAAACCCCGGGATGGAAGCAGCTCCCTTGGTGACGGGGCATCAGAGAGTGACACCACAGAGTCGGCAGACAGCGAGAATGACATGGGGGAGTCCCCAACTCACCCGACCTGGGACCGTTATCACCGCTCCTCATCCAATGAGTCCTTCTCTTCCAACCAGAGTACAGAGTCAGCCAAGGATGAGGAGGCTGTGGGGCTCCGGGAATTCATGCGGAACTATGTTGAAAAGATCTTCTCTGGAGGGTAAGAGGATAAATGTATTACAGGTCAGTGTAGAATTCTGGGTTAAGGGCCATAAATCTGGGGTGGAGTGCTGGTGTTGTTATTAAGTGACTTCATTTCTCTACCCCTTTGTTGGTAAACTGAGGAAGAATACTCTTGTTCTTCTGGTAAGATTGCATGATGAAATTTCTAGGTTGCAGAGCAATTTGGCCTCCAGGGTTTGTGGGATCCTCCTTCTTGTAGGGAGCATTAGAACGCCAACCTTGACTTACCTGGCTTTTCCTCTTTCAGAGAAGACTTGGATCAAGAAGAGAAAGCCAAGTTTGGAGAATTCTGCAGCAGTGAAAATGGGAAAGGTCGGGAGTGGTTTGCCCGCTATGTGAGTGCCCAGGTAAGGGGCAGAGGTCGGGGTGCCAGGGGCACAGGGTGCCAGGATCATTGGGCTTAGGCTGACTGCCCCACGCCTGGGGGAGGGAGCCCGTGGGCTGGTGTTGTAGGAGCTCTTACAATGATCTTCTAAGGAAAGCTGCTCAGCAGCCTGGCCCTCTGGTTATCATGAGGAGACTGATCCCTGCCTGCCTCTCTTTGGCCTTTTTCCCGAACAGCGTTGCAATTCCAAGTGCGTCTCAGAGCCGACTTTCTACCGCCTGGTGCAGTCCTTCGCGGTGGTGCTGTTTGAGTAAGTCGGGCAGCTGGTGATCTCGTCCAACGCCCCTTCCTTCTGCTGTGCTCTCTGGTCTGTGTTACATGAAAACTCGGGAGGGGCAGGTTTCAGGATGCCGCTGGCTATTACTGGCACACAGCTGTAGGTCAAGGGGAGAGAGGCCTACAAAGGGAACCCAGAGACACGGGTTCTAGTCCTGAGTCATTACCACTGTTGGTTTGTCTGCAGAGATGGCGGTGGTAAGCTTATACTGGATGCGAAAAGGAGAATAAGTACAGTGTCCCAAAAGTCTTGGTGCCTTTAAAAAAATGCTCGTAAGGTCTAAAACTGCATTAAGACTTTGGGGACCCCAAGTACTAAACAGCAGTACCCGTATGGTACTGCTATTCTCTATTCACGTCTCAATAAATCTCTGGGAAAAAATGTAAATATAGGACAAAATCAGGAGCTCTGGTGGGGTATTCTTCTTTCTCACCACTTGACAAATTGACCTCAATTTGAAGTCCTGTCCTAAGTCAGGAAGCTTTCACAATTTCAGCTGTGTGTGTGTGTGTGTGTGTGTGTGTGTGTGTGTTAGTTATGTAATTTTGCTTTTTATTAGTCAGAGACTACCTTAATTCTCCTAATAGCTCCACTTCAGCTCCTTTTTGGAAGTAGGTGGGGTATAAAGCCCATGAAATACTCCATCATAAACTCCTCATTGCCACAATACTAGTTCAGTTGTTCTGAAGGCCTGGAGTCAGGAACACTCATCTTCCCGAGTTCAAATCCGGCTTCCGACACTCACTAGCTATGTGACCTTGGACAAGGCATTTACCCTGTTTGCCTCAGTTTCCTCATCTGTAAAATGAGCTGGCGAAGGAAATGGCAAACCACTCCAGTATCTCTGCCAAGAAAATCCCTAACAGGGTCATCAAGACTCAAACTTGTCACCTGAGTCACCTGAGCAGGATGGTCAAGATCAGCTGTTCTCTGCGGCAGAATGAGAAATCTTTACCTGACAGTGGAAATCACAGGGTAGAAACAGCTGGTGCGTGAGTAAATTCTTCTATGAGAAGCACTCACACTAAGTAGTGATTACACGCTGTTGTGCTGCATTCTTCCTGAGCAAAGACCTAGAATTTGTCTCCATTTCCTGTTGTGAAGGGCTTTCTACTAGGTACTCGCCCAGCCTTCGAGCCAATGGATGCTTTGGAAGTTATCTGGTGACCTCAGACAGGCATATTTCTCCACCAGTATCAATTAGTCTCTGCAGGAGGCTTTCACCCCAACAGGCTTGTCAGATGGATTGGGGGGGGGGCATGGAAAGGAGAGCCTGGAAATTAGGAGATTTGGGTTCTATTCCTACCTCAGCAATTAACTGGCTGTGTGACCTTCGGGTAAGTACTCACCCTTTCTGGGCTTCACCTTCCTCACTTGGAAAATGAGGCTATTGGATTGATATCCCTTCCAGCCCTGTTTAACTTAGGAGCTGTAGGAACACGAGATTGTAGATTCAGACCAGCAAGGGACTTGAGAGAACATCTCTAGTCCAACTCCTATATTCTACAAGTGGGAAAACTGAGGCAAAGAGAAGTTAAATGACTTGCCTAAGATCTTGTGTCTGAGGTGGAATTTGAATCCAGGTCTTCCTGATTCCATGCTTAGTGTCCTCTTGGCTAGATCATGCCGGCTTCTTTGGGTTCAGAGCCTGCTTCTGTTGCTTACCACCCATGGGACCTTCGGCAAGTCATTTCTCTCCGGGCTATAGTTTCTGCATTCCTAAATGTGGAAGGAGGACTAACCCTCAGCCTCCTTATAATGCTGATTATATAAAGGTATTCTCAGGATGGTCCTCTGTCCTGGCAAAGATGGTACCCTGAATCTTATCTATGCATAACCTTGAACTAATCACCTAATTGTGGCAAAGAGACTTTTTCTGAGCCTTTCTTTCTTTTTTATGTTTTGTTTTGTTTGTTTTTGCTAGGCAATGGGGTTAAATGACTTGCCCAGGGTCACACACTAGTAAGTATCAAGTGTCTGAGGCTGGATTTGAACTCAGGTCCTCCTGACTCCAGGGCTGGTGCTCTATCCGCTGTGCCACCTAGCTGCCCCTCTGTGCCTGCTTTCTAAGAGAATCTCTTTAGGGGTAAACAGAAGCATGTGTTAGAGGACTGTGGGCAAGGTAAAGTAGCCTAGGAATTCACTGACCTATCTCCTTTTTTCTCCCTTTCAGGTGTCATCAGATGGATGATTTTGGACCAGCGAAGAATCTGATGACCATGTGTTTCACATACTACCACATTGGTGAGTCATTGGGTTTTGTTTTCTCTGGGATTTGAACAATTATGGAGAGTCCTGCTAAGCCTTGTAAATTTGAGGGCTGATGACAACTTCAGTGGGCATCATTTCTTTCTCTCTAGTTCAAGCAACATTCAGCATGTATCCTGGGCAAGGAACTGAAGATACATAACAATCCCTGCCCACAGGGAGCTTACATTCTACTAGAATGTTAAATGACATTCCCAAGGTCACCTCCAAAATAAGATTAGGACCTGACCTCCTGACTCAGTCCATTCTTTCCATCGTACACACCGCCAGCTGAAAGACCTGTTTTTCATAGCTGTAGAATATTTGACAGTCAGGAGATCTGGGTTCTAATCCTAGATCTAACTAACACACAGTATGATGCCGGACACCCAGTGTCTGGGCCTCACACTTCTCATCCATCAAATGGAAATTTGAATTAGACGATCGTTAAGGTTCCTTCGGGCTTCATGATTCTAATCAAGCGATACGCTTGTTCATTACACACTTATTGAACATCCACCAAGTACAAGGCCTCCTGCTAAATACTTCCTTTGAGGTGACTGCAAAAATAAATAAGAATAATATACATAAAAATAAATAAATCCATGCCTTCCAGGAGTCATAAGAATGTGGTAGAGACAAAATAACCATAATACTTAGCTCGAAGTCATTCCCCACGTGAAGATTTGGCTGTAAATCTGTGTTGTTAGATCTCACCATCTCTGAGCCCCAAATTGGGTCCCATCATTTGTCACCACTTGAATTGTTGGTGGTAGTGGAAGTACGGTGGGTCATTGTTCAGTCAGGGTCCATTGCCTATCGCCTGGAGTAAAAAACTCTTCCAGAATAACCACAGTGTACGGGAGCCTTAGATAAAAGTCAGCCCGCGTAAAGAAGCCAGTCACTGCTAAACGCTGGGAATACAAATACAAGCAAAAAGAAAGATGATTCTCACCCTTAAGGAACTTGGATTGTAATAGGGAGAAGACAAAACTTGGGATGGTAAGGAGAAGCTGAAGGGACCAGGCAGGGATAGAGAAGGTCGGGAGTGGGATTACATCCCGGAGAAGATTGAAGCCATGGCTGGTCTGGTAGTTTTCTCAAATGGAGATTTTGGGGAGAAGCAATCCAATCAGAGGCCAGAGCATGGTGGGTACTTCCAGTGGTAAATTCTATGACTGGAGTGAGCCTTCAGGATGAAGAACTGGGGCATGGTAGAGGAAGTCAGGAGTATAGCCTGGAGAGGAATGAGGAATCCACTGAATATCCCCTAATTTAAAAAAAAAAAAGATTTAATTTAACAAAACATAGCCACCACATGTGACAGTAATCACATCTGACAGCATATGCATCACCCTTAGTCCTTCCCCTCTCTGCTGAAATCAAGAGTGCCCGTTGCAATTACTCTGACTCATCGGCACGTTACCGTCATTTTCCTTCACGTTGTTATAGTTACTATGCACAGGGGTCCCTTGATTTTCCCTTTATTGGTCCCTTTCTTTGCTCTGAATTATTATTTTAAATAATTTTTCCTACACTTATCTAGATGCCTCATATGCCTTTTAATGACGCAATAGTATTTTGTTACATTTATAAAATATGATTCATTCAGCCATTCCCCAACTCAGATAGTCACCTGTTTTGTTTCCAGTTTTTCAGTATCATAAAGAAGATTACTATATTGTATAGTACATATAATCTTTCTTGTTATCACTGATTTCCTGGGGCATGAGGATTATGTAGGAAAAGTTCATTGTCCAGAGAAGGGAAGCACATAATTTGAGTTTTTTGGGTTAAGAAAAATAACCAATGGGCAAGTTATATGCCTTTGGCCTGTCTTTTCTGTGAAATAAGCCCTAAGATTATCCACAGGGAGGGAGGTGAACAAGGAGGTGAGATCCACTCACTAGAGGGTATGGAAATACAAGATCCCCTTGCTAGGCAGTGAAAAAAGTCCCCTTTGCCACGAATGTGTGGCCTTCCCCAAGCCTATTTCTTCCTGCAATATTCTAATAAGTGGAGTCTAAGGCCAGTTCCAGGGCGTCAAGAGTTGTCCTGGTCTGTCTCATGGAATGGAAGGTCCCTGTTCTGTGGTCATAGACCACATAGTAAAATGATGGGGCCTGAATTTGAATGATCTACAGTTCATTCCATCTTCCATCCCCCAATCTTATGATTCTCTAAGGTTTAGCATTCTAATTCCATACCTGTGTTTTATATGGTGCAGAGCTCTCATTATTTGGAATTTGTTGGAGCCTAGGTACATGTTCCATTTCTGTGGCTTACCAACTGGGCAATCCTGAGCAAATTACTCCCCCTTTCTGGGCCTCAGGAGCTGGCCCTGAAAAATGAGGAGGCTGGGCATGGGTACTGTCCAGCTCCAAATCCTTCAGTTCTCATGCCCCCTGCTTCTCTAGCCAGTGAGATTTGGGAAAGGAATCTTCCTGATACTCTCTCTATATATATATATACAAGCCATAACCTAATGGAAACATTTGGAAAATGAAAGAAAGTTGGGTGGTTTTTCAGTTCTTCCTCTCACCTCTTCCATTTGTGAATCCTTTTGGGTGAGGGTTTGGTTTTGTTTTGCTTTGTTTTTTGGTAGGCAAACCTCACATGCTGCCCCTGGAGTCCAAGGAGAAACCTGCAGGCAGCATTGACTCCTACCTGAAGTCTGCTAATAGCTGGCTGGCAGAAAAGAAGGACATTGCAGAGCGTCTGCTGAAGAACACGTCCGCAAAAACAGAAAACGTGAAAGGCTTCTTTGGAGGCTTGGAAACTAAGCTGAAGGGACCACTGACCAAGAAAAATGAGTAAGTATTGCCCTAGTTTTCTATTTGTGAGCTTTATTTAGAGAACTCAGTCACATGGGTTTGTCAAACCTCAGGGAAGATGTTGTTTGCCCCTTGTATGCAATGTGGAAGAAAGCAGTGGGATGCTTTGCTCTTGATCCACAGCCTAATGGGATGAATCCTTGTTAGATCTTGGTGGTCTTCAGTACGTGCTCATGACAAACCTCATTTCTAGAAATAAGAAAGGTCTTGTTCCTCTAACTCAAGCGTTTTAACCTTGGTCATAGACCCTTTTGGCCATCTGGACCCCTTCTCAGGAGGATATTTTTAGAATGTCAAAGGAAACCAAATATATTGAAATGCTTTTTAGAAACATAAGTTCAAAGACCCCAGGTTAAGAACTCTTGCTCTAAATGTTCTCAGAATGGCAGAATTGGAAGTAAGCACAGAGTGAACCTAGTTTCAGCCATTCCTGAACAGACAAACAGGTGTTTAGATTCTGTTAGAAGGGCTCCAGTGATAGGACCTTACTACCCATCAAAATAAGCCGTGCCAATTTTAAGGTAGTTCTAATCCTTAGGAGACCGGTTCTGAATGTTAAAAATTCTTTCTAAATCTGCCTCCTGGCAACCTTCCAACCCAGTGTCCATAGTTCTATTTGATGGGTATTCTGGAGTCAAACACAATAAGTCCAAACAAGGCACTTAGGTAGCTTAGTGGCCAGAGCATCAAATTGGGAGTCAGGAAGACCTGAATTTAAATTCTGCCTTAGATACTTACTAGCTGTGAGCCTTGGTTTCCTCATCTGTAAAATGAAGAGGTTGGACCCCTCTAGGGTCCCTGCCAGCTCTAAATCTATGATCCTATAATCCTCTGAAGCAAATCTCACTTTCATAGAACAGCCCTTTAATGACCTTGGACAAATCTCTTTATCTCACTTGGCCTCAGTTTTCTCATCTGTAAAATGAGGTGGCTTATAATATCCCTTCTACCTCTAAATCTATTATCTATGATTTGGACAACATGGTCACCAAAGTCCCTTCCAGCTCTAAATCTGTGACCTATGATGTTTGGGCTGGATGGCCATTGAACTCTTGTCTCTCAAATTTTGTGATTCTGTGATGCATAATCCATTCTCAGAGAACTTTTTTTGTTGTTGTTAGGAGATGTGCTTGTGGACTCCCAGGGACTACATTAGAAGTTGGAGGATGTAACTAATTTAAGACCTCCCTCACAGGGCTACCAGTACATTAGTAGGAAAGATTATTGATGTTAAGAGCATCTTAGCCCTTGGCTTCATTTTCACTACTGATGGTTCAAACCCTTGGAGATCCAGTGACTTAGATTGACCAATTGATATTTCAAACCTTGGAGAAAATGGTACCACTAGGAAGTTTAGCGTTTTGGAGCAGGCTGGCTCTTTTTTAAGTTAATGGTCCCTGTGGTTTCTTTTTCCTTAGGGAAGATGAAGAGAAACCAAAGGAAAAGCAGCAGAAGACTGGTGAGAAGTCCCCTGCTTCTATAAATTCTCTTTCTTAGTATCCCAGAGTCCAGGGCAGAGGCAGGCGAGTAGCTACCTGTAGCTTATATATGATGCCATAATATATTAAACAATATAATATGTGAAAAGTATTTTGCAAACCTTAAAGCACTATATAAATTTGAGTTATTATTATATGATGGGCACCTTGATGCTGAGGCCCCTGCTTGGCTCTTTACTGAAGAGGAAGTTAAAGACCAGTGTTTCAATGAAAAAGCCAGAGAGCTTTGGAGGGCTACATAATAATCCTTTTGCCCTGCATTTGATAAGACCTTACTCTTTTGCTACTTGGTGACCATCATTTGAATTTTAAATCGGCTTTGCCAACCCAATGTATCACTGGACACAGAGAGGATAATGGAATTACGGTTAGATCAACCCAGTCCATCGCCTTTCTCAGAAAACTCCTTCACATGGATGCCTTGCTGGCAATGGCAATGGGTTAGTAGTATCATTGTCTTCTATGCCAGAAGACAGTGTCATCAGATAGACAAGTCATAGATGGGTGATTCGGGTTGTGGCTGAAGACGTCCTTCTTCTAATGGTGATGGGGAAGGTGTCATGGTAGAGCTCCATTGCCAAAGTGGATAAAACAATGAATCCACATTTAGGGCTACTTATCTGTTCCTGCAGTGACGATGTACAGCCCAGATGAAGAGAAGAAAGGGGAGAAGATCTATCTGTACACTCACCTGAAGCAGCAGCCTATCTGGTAAGCATTGGCCAGCTGCTTTTCCATAGTACCTGGTCACTGTTGGAAGGAGGTGGCCCTTGGGATCTCCTCTTTTCTTTGGCTACTTGCTGCTTCTTGACATCATCATTCCATCTCTTACCCGTACACTTTTGTATAGGCTGTTGTTCATACCTGGAATGCACTCCCACCTTTAAGAATTCTTACCTTCTGGGACTTCACTTAAGAATCTAGAGTTACCTTCATATTATGGGGAGGCTTTGTTATGTGACTTCAGTGACGTCAATCAATATGAATCTAGAATCTTTCTGGAAAAAAAAAGTATCTGGGAATTAAAATGATCCTGTATTGTTATCAGTGGCAATAAAAGTTAGTATGCTCAAAAAAAAAAAGAATTCTTACCTTCCTTCAGAAGGTGCCTCTTCATATGGGAAGCCTTCTGTTTACACATACTCCACCTCCTTTCAGTCCTTCATGCTTTCTCTCAAATTATATTTGTAATCTGCTTTATATTTTATATTCCCTGGTAAGCTTCTGGAAGGAAATTACTTTTTATTTGTAATATGTATTTATAATATTTATATTTATCATCTACTTTATATGTTGTATTCCTTGGTAAGTTTCTGGAAAAGGTTACTCCTTATTTTTGTTTGTGTCTTACATATCACCAGTGTATATAACAGTGCATCACGTATAGAAAATGCAGCAGAAATACTTCTTGAGTTAAAGATCGATGGCTAGAGGGGGTGCACTGCAGTAGAAAAATCATGGAATATGGAGTAAAATGACCTGTGTTGGAATCCTGACCTTGATAGTTGAGTGGTCATGTGTAAGTCACTTAATTTTTCTGGGCCTCAGTTTCCTCATCAGTAACATGAGGGAGTTGAACCAGATGATGTCCTTCTAGTTCTGTAATTCTATGAAGACTATAATTCTATGAAGGAAATCATGAATCTCTGGAGAAAATCCTGTTCATCTCTCTGGGTCTGGTAAATTTGCCTTATTTGAACTCACCAGTGGTAATCTTTCTAGCATCAAATCCTGATCTTCCTCTCCATCATTAATGAAACAACAGCAAAATATCATCTAATGGCCAAGCCTCTGGTGACCAACCTCTCCTTGCCAGGAATTTATTGTTGACCCCATGGAAGGCACTATGCTAGGGTCATAAGAGTACGAAGAAGTGTCAGACATGGTCCTTCAAGTAGCCTTCTAGTCTAGTTGGGTAAATGGCATGGATGTAGTGGTAGGGATTGGAAGAGTTCAGAATGGGGAGAGATTCTTTGGGCTGGGCTGGTTAGCAAAGGTAATATGGGGGCTTGATCCAAGCTAAGGTGATTGAGCAGACTTTGGATAAGTAGAGAAAAGAGTGTGGGAGAAGGGGAGGGGGAATATTCCAGGTTTAGGTATCTCAAGCTAGTTTCAGTTCATTCAGGATACACCATGTATCCTGTTCTGGTTTTTTTGAGAATAACCCCTTTTAACTGCCCACATCATATGTCCCTCCCAGGACCGCATCTCTGGTGTTCCCAAAGGGAAAACTGAGGCTCTTGATCTGTCACTTAGAACCTGTGTGACCTCAGGTCAATTACTTAACCCCCCAGGTCTCAGTCTCTCATTGGTAGAATGAGGAGGATTGGCCTGGATAGCTTCGAAGGTCCCTTTGGCTCTGAGCCTCTGCCTCCAGCTCAGGGCGTTGGCTGCCTCAGCATCTGACTGGTGTGTCCACCTTGGGGCGTGAACTTACTTTCATCAAGGTTGTTCCTCACCATCATCAAGCCTAAAAGAAGAATGCTAATAACTCAGAGCTCCCTTTCTTTATGGCTTGCAAAGTATTTGTACCTCAATGCTGTGATGTAGGTAAGGCAGATAGCATCTCTCTTTTACAGAGAAGGAAATTGAACCTTAGGGGTGTTAAGTGATTATTTGCCCATAGTCGCATAGCCAGTGTTAGAGACAATTAGAAACACATCCAGGTCCCTTAGAATTCTCATTGAATTCTTCAAAAAGGGAATGGGAGGGGGGTCATGTCTTCTCAGCATAGTTCCTGGCACACAGAAGGTGCTTAATAAATGTTAGTTGGCTGCATCTGTCCTTTAGGGCATCCATATGGTGCATTTTAATTGTAAGCACTTGAACTGGGCCTTGAAGATGGTTTGTTGAAAGATCACGTCCAACTTTAGTGAAGGCTTTGCTCTCTGTTGAAAAGCTCCAGCCTCATGAGATCGGTCCCACTGTACCTTCATTGTTGTCCACAGCATTTTAGACCACATGGGGGAACCATGACTTCCAGTGTCCTGTCTCGCTGTCCCATATCCGATCCTCATCTTCCCAAAGTGACCTTCTCTCTGTTCCTCCTGCGTGATACTCCATCTCTCACCTTCAGGCCTCTGTACCGATTGTCCCCTATGCTCGTGACGCACTCCTTCCTTACTTCTGCTTCATGGGGTCCCTCCAGCTCAGGTGCCCTCTTCTGCATGAAGCATTTCTTGTCCTCTCTCCCAAACTAGCTTGTATTTTGCTATCTTGTATAGATTTATATTTATTCACTCAATACTTATGTTGTATATGTATATGTATGCACATATAACAATAACAGCCAATATTTATATAGTGCCTACTATGTATTAGGCACTGTGCCCAGCACTTACAAATATTATCTCATTTAATCCTTACATCAACCCTAGGAGGTAAGTGCTATGATTATCCCCCATTTTATAGATGAGGAAACTGAGGTAAACAGAGGTTATGTGACTTGTGCAGGACCGTCCGGGTAGCTAGTAAGTGAATGAGGCCAAATTTGAACTCAAGTCTTCTTGATTCCAGACCTAACAGTGCTCTATCTGCTTTACCACCTGTGAAATATATGTTTGTTGTCTCCCTACTGTGAACGAAAGCTCGTTTTGAGTAGGGATTGTTTACATTCCTTGTGTTTATATCCCTGGTGCCTGGCAAACAGTAGGCGTTTAATAAATATTTGATTGATTAACAGTGATGGTGTGTTGGGGCTGAGGATAGTATTACCTTAAGGAAGAGGATCTAGAGCCCTAACCTGCCATTTGGATTTTAGCTCTGTTTCTGACGGTGCAGAAAACTGCACAGGTATGAGGAGATGGGCGTCATTTACAAGTTTCTCATGTCTTCTAGGCACACCCTGAGATTCTGGAATGCAGCTTTTTTTGATGCTGTCCACTGTGAGAGAAGGAAGAGATCGCCTACCACCAGGTAGGAGCTAAAGATGGCCGTGGGCCCCTCAACCTTCTGTGGAAGTGGGGAGACCAGGGAAAGGAACCATTCTTCTCCCCCACCCCTTACTTACCACCTTCTGTGTCTGCTGTCCTGAAGACTGCCCTGAGTGTTGTAAGGACACACAGCCGAGAAGGGGGTGGGGTGTGGGGGCAGAGGTTGGTTGTCCAGAACCTGCATGTGTGCTTTCTCGCCTGGGGTGGTCTTAGATGACTTGGCCTGACTCTCCCAGACAACTCAACCTACCATTGGATGACAGTGTTAACTTCTTTCCCCATCTCTGTCTGGACCCACTTCAGTCAAGTCTCACCAGGATACCAGAACCCAAAGGAGAAGCCATTGCAATGGAGTCGACCTAGCTTGTTGTCTTGTAAGGAGATGCCACCATGAGGCTTAACCTCTGTTGGAGCCCAGTTGCCATTTTGTGACTTGGCTTCTCCTTGGTTTGCAACATTAACAGGCCTTTCCAAGCTCCAATGGTAGTTTGCAATTTGAGAGGTTCCCTCTTTCTGCTTGTCTACATACAGAAGGTTGGCTTCAACAGTGTCCTACAGTTGGAAAATGCTGGCATGAGATCTTTTCATGGCATTACTGCTCATCGTAAGGGGGTACACCATGAGGGAAGAGGGCGAGTGGACCTCTAGAAGCTGATTTATGGTCATCAGACAGAGAAAGACATTCTGTAGCAAAGGGATAGGCAAGAGAGCATATAATGGAAAGAGACCTAACAGCAATTTATATTCATTCTCTAAGCCTCATTTTCTCCTGTAAAACGAGGGCTTTGGGGTAGAGGAGCTCTCAAATCCCTCTAACATCCATTATCCTAAGGAAAGGCACCCCAGCCTGGCCTGGTGCCCAGAGTTTAAGGAGTAGTTCTCCCAAGTGAGTATTTGCAGAGAGAACAGGCCAATTTCAATGTCTTAAAAGGGGATATTAGTGCTTGACCTGCATGGCATGACCAGGCTGATGTCACCTGCTTAAGCTAGATCGATTTTCCTAGCAGAACTGCCCAACAGACAGAGTTCTTTGCTGTCCCCCACTACTTTGGTGGTTTGTATCGTGTAGCACAAAGGGCCGGCCATTCTGAAAGGAAATTTGGGTTTGAATCCCAGCTCTGTCACTTGCAAGCTGTGTGACCTTAGGGCAAGTTACTTCCCCTCACCAAACCTCAACTTCCACATTTCTCAAATGAGGAAGACTTGGGTTTGAGTCACAGCTCTAACCCTTACAAGCTTGTATGACCGTGGGCATGTCATTGGACAGAAGAAGCAATTGGACTAATATAGCCCGTGTGAACCCCTGCAGCTCTGTGATGCTATTACCTGCGGCCCTGGCAAGGATAGAAAAGAAGCGGCAATTTGTTAGCATAGCTTCTGCATACTGGACTACTGCGGCAAGGGGAGGGTTGGCATGGGAGTGGGCTAAAGCAGAGGCAACCCCCAAACCCTTTAACTTGGACATTTCCTTAACCTGCTGGGGTAAGTCTGGGAGAAGAAAAGGGGTGGGGGAGCATCCTGAAACTTCACTGCAGTCTGTTTGGGAGAAAAGTTATTATCGTGTTATGTCAGAAATAATGTTCAGGAAAAGTTTTGATAATTAAAAGGGCAGGTGGGGCTTTGCTCCTTATTGTTCAGCTATCAGGAAAGAAGTTTATTTTAAATATCCTGTCTCTTCCTATTTCTCTCTCTCTCTCCCCTTGTCTCCCTCTCCACCTTCTTTTTCTCTCTCCTTCTTCCCTTCTTCCTCCTTCTCTCTCTCTTTTCCCCTCTCTCTCCCTCTCTTCTCTCTTTCTCTCTTCCCCTTCCTTTTTTCCTCCTCCATCTCCCCCTTTCCCTTTTCTCCTCCTATCTTCCCCTCCCCTCTTTCTTTCTCCATCCCCCCTCTCCCTCCCTCCCTTCTCTTTTCTTTCTCCCTCCTCTCCCCCTCCTTCTCTCTCTCTCTCTCTCTCTCTCTCTCTCTCTCTCTCTCTCTCTCTCTCTCTCTCTCTCTCTCTCTCTCTCTCTCTCTCTGTCTCTCTGTCTATAATAACTCATTCTTTTACTTGTTCTCTTTTTTTTCCATCCACTTATCTTGCATGATCTTAACATGTGCCCTTTGTTGACCCTGTTTCTGCTGCCACTCCAGAGGGAATGCTGGAGAGGAAGAGGAAAAGAGGTGTGTGTGCCCCGGGACTTTGTTCCATTTGATAGTAACTTCTGATTCACTTTAAGGTCCTTTTCAGGGCAAAACTGAGGGGGTGGGTTGTGGGGCGGGGGAGGAAACGTGCATTTTCAGCTATTGTGTTTGTAACAGGCCCAGGTGGAGGTCAGGAGGCTGCTTCCTGTAGCAGAGGGGACACTGGGGGAGACCAGGACAGTGGCTGACAGATGGTGATTGCTAACCACTCATACTCAGCAAGGCTTACTTTGTGGGACACCCTGGGGATGGAGGAGTTGGAGATGGCGGCCACAATTGGAAGGCACTTAGCTCACTACCAACTGCCCAAACCCCATGTAAAGCATCCCCCCTCCCCCTCAGCAAAACCTTTAGCTCAAGGACTTGAGTTCTCCTCACATTCTATGAAATCTGGCCTCTAGACTAGATGGTGGTTGAGAGGGGGTGGGGTGGGGCATCATAAACCCTAATCCTATGATAACCGACAGAACAGTACAACAAACATTCACTAAGTGTCTACTGTATTCAGAGCCTTGTGCTGGGCAGTGAGGAGATGTAAAGTATAGACAAGACACAATAGATGCATATATGTTATTCTTTGTAGTATCCCTCCATCCCCCCATCCGTGCCCCTCAGCTTTCCCCATGTCATGGCTAGTTTGGGATTCTGAACTGGCTTGAGAAACTGTTTGGGTTGAGGGGAGGGCATTTGGGGCTGGGGGACGACAGTTGCTGCTTTCATTTTGAATAATTCGGTTTTCATCAGGGCTCCTTTTCTGAGTGCTCAGCTCCCTCCTGAAGCAAATCACAGATTTTCCTCGCCCATTCCTACACTTACATTATAGCAGTATGGCTTGGGGCAAGTCTAATCTCACTTTTCTTTCCTGGGTGTTTGTTTCCTCATCTCTAAAATAAAGGGGTGCAACTAAATTATTTGGAAGTTCTTACACCGTTCTATCATTCTACCTTTAAAGTTTCCTTCTAACCCAAAAGTTCTGTGATCCTTCAGCTTTTGACTCTGATTCCTTGGCCTTTTGACTGGTGATGGGACACCTTTTGGGGCCATGATCCTTATCTTGCAGCTAATGGACTCAATTTCATCTGTTCTATACAATGGGAAGATATTGTATAACCCAATAGTGTGAAAATGATATTGGGGAAGGGGTGGAAGTAATTGTTAAAGATGGGGGAGAACATTGTGGTTGGGTGGGGGGAGGGGAGGTAAATCAAGTCACCAGGGTCTGGGGAGCTCTTCAAGCTTGGAGAATAGAATTGTTAAGGGGTGAATTGAATTTAAGCTCCTTCCTGCTCTGGTTGCAAAGACAAACCATACCCTGCCTTCCTAGAGCTTATGTTCTACTACAGTGGGGATGAGGTGGGGTTGGGGGGAATGATATAACACATAAGTCAATACAAAATAATTATAGGATAATTGACAATCTAGAGCACATCCAAACCAAATTTCTGAAGTGCTTCAGAATATTTTATAAGACAAAAAAGACCTACTTCTTCTGGTTGCCCCTCCCTATTTAAAAAAAATCCCTATGACTAAGTTTTTTAAATTTCTGTCTTTCTAACCCTGGGTAAGACATTTCCGTATTCTTCCTCATCTGTAAAATGAAAAGATTAGATTAGATGATAGCAAAAATCCTTTCCAGGTCTGATTTCTTTTTTTTTTAATTGTTATTGTTATTTTTATTTTTTTATCTCTCCCCTTCCTTCTCCAAGAGAGCTATCTTTTATAACAACTGCAAAAATTATAATCAAGTCAATCCAGTTATTCCTTTTTATGACTCTGACATGCTTCTTGAGACCTGTAGAGGCTACCTAGCAGGGAAGGCAGGACAAAGGTTAGGTTCATCCTACTTTCTAAAGTTATACTGATCTAGAAATTGGGGGGCAGAACTTTCCTCTTTCTTCCCTTCTTATGCCTCTTGTGAAAGCCACAGGAAAGAAGGGTAGACCCTTTCTTCTCCTAGTCTTTTTTGCTAGGAAAGCCTTTCCCATGGCACTTGAGCATCCCAAGGGTGCTCCTACCTGGCAATGTGTGTACATAGCAGGTATCCACACACACACTTTGTGGTTTTTTTTCAAAGGTAGAAAAACAATCCCTTCCACACGTTAATGAGAAGCATTCCCTTCCCCTTTGAGGGGAAAAAAAATTAATTTGTCCTTTTTCTTGATCCATCACCATTTTGTTCCTTCCCCACGGAAATGTATCCTCTAAGAAATCTGCCATAGAGGGAATGAAATGCAATCGTCTTTGCCTTCCCTAAAACAAGGTTCTGTTCTGGTATGGACCCGGATGGGTCTCATTTTACAGATTACCACTGTTGCTGAAAAGCTGGCTTTTAAATTGAATTTCTGTAAATCAAATCTTTTCTCCATGACTTCCTCCATAAAATTAGCAGTATTTTCCCAGAGAAAATGATTTTGGCTCCAGGGCAAAACTGAAGTTGTGCTAAGTACAGGAAATATTTTAAAAATTGTATTTTTGAAGGGAAATGATCATTTTCTGACTGGGCAGCTGTGTTAGTGTAGAAAGAGCAGATGAGAGTCCAAAGACTCAGGCATGGCCACTGACTTGCTGTGTGACCTCAGTTTCCCCATCTATAAAACACGTTTGGCCATGTGATCTTAATGATCCCTTCTGCCACTGGTAATTCCCATGATCCACGCACTGGAACTTGAAATGCCAACTAAGAAATTTCAGCATCTTGGGGCCCAGACTTTGTGGGGTTGCCTGGTAGCTTTATTGCCAATCTGTAATTCTGTCTTCAGCCCCAAATAAATGCTACTTTTTAAAAAGATCAATTTTTAGAGATTCCCTCTAAATGGATTTGTATAGATTTTTTATTTATAGTCTAGATGAAGTAGATAGAATGCTGGATTCAGGAGACCTGGGTTTGAGACTTAGGATTGGGCTCTTGGCTAGGCTCCTGTGAGCTGTGTGACCATGGGCTGACCACTTCAGTTATTGGAGGGTCAGTTTCTCCACCTGTAAAAAATGGGGATAATGATACACTAGGTAACTCATGGCATTGCTGTGAGGAAGAGCCATTGTAAAGCATAGTGAGAACCTTTAGAAATGTGGCGAGGTTACGATCATGGATGGCACAGACTAGCCAGCTGGCTCCATCTTTTCATAAATCTGATGACCAGATACTGGTAAAGTCATCATTCTGGTGATTTTTTTTTAGTTTTAATTTTTCAATATGAATAGTCACCTGCTGTAAGTTCCCTTGAATAAGAATGCCTCTAGATTACCTTTTACTTCTGAGAAAGCAAATTGTTTGAGTTTCCCTGTATTGGCCCCTATGAGAACTAAAGAAGTTAAGAGGGGAGGTGTCAGAGGAGGGGGTGGCATTTAGTATCTTCAGCTCTCTCTGCTGAGACACTCTAAACAAGGCTATATCATAACCCTGTCATTATTAGAGAGTCTCAGGAATTTAACCTCCAGCCTTAGCCATTGTGGGGAAGGGGAGATCTGCTTCCTGTCTAGGCTGATGGTAGCCCTGCCACCAGGTAGGAACTAAGGCTCTTGTACCTGGAGTTTCCTTGCTACAGGAGGGAGGGGTGAAAGTTGACTGGAGCCAGATGGTGAGACAGGGCTCAGCGAGCCATCCCTGGGGTTACTTCATAATCTCATGTCAGTGCTCCCAACAGCCTGTCTCTTGAAAAAAAGTCAGGAGCTACCCAGCTTCTATGCTCAACAGCTATTTGACATTGGGCAAATCACTTTCCTTTTCTGAGTCTCGGTTTCCTAATCTGTAAAATGGGGATAAAAATACTGGTCTTAACCTCCCTGCCAGGATAGGTAAAAGGATGCTTTGAACATCTTCAAGGGCTATCTCTAAACATTTAAAATTGGTGGCATTATCATTACTTACAAATTATCATTCAGCCAACTTTGGGCAACTCCCACACTTGTGCCTTCCTCCCAAGACTGTATCTGTCTCTACTCCTCTACCTTCTCAGCCAACCCTCACCCCCAACGTTGTTAAGCCTAACGGAGAGGTGTGTTCCGTGTAATAGAGCTATCCCATCAGCTCATTCACTCGTTACAATGGTCTCCCCAGCAGCGGGCAGGGAAGGGATGGTTGGCATTAAACATTAGTCCTATTCTTCCTTTGGTTTCTCCATCCTCTGCCTGCATCCCTCCTCCATGGCCCCTACTCCCTCAGACCATCTTTTCTCTCCTTTTCCTTTTAGATTGATCTTAGCTCTTACTCAGTCTGACCCATCCATTGAGAACTGTATTTTTCTAGGGTAAACAGTGGGTTAAAATGTACTCTTCCTCCAAGCCTGCACCTGTGGTTCTCATTAGGGCAGCAGCAGCCCTCCCTGGGAGCCCTTAATTCTTTGGGCCTGACACTCACTGCTTGCTATTCATTAAGACAAATGAATAAAGCCCAGCAAGGCTGGAGCCACATTTCCATCTGGCATTATTAGGTTCTGATAGACAAAGGGAGATAAAGCCAAGAGATGAAGAAGATACGTAGGCTTTTAACATCCTAAAACAATGTAGCTCAGTGGGGCAGCGGATAGAAGGTTGGCCTTGGTGTCCAGAGGACCCGAGTTCAAATATTTATAGCCACGTGACCCTTGGCAAATCACTTAACTTCTGTCTGCCTCAGTTTCCACATCTGTTAAACAGATATAACAATAGTACCTACCTCACAGGGTTGTTGTGGGGATCAAATGAGATAATATATAATATGTAATAATAATAATAATAATAATAATAATAATAATAAAAAAGGGCTGTATAAATCCTAGCCATTATTATCATTATTACTACTATTAATAATTATCATACCAAGAAAAAAATGCCATTCCCTTCCCCCCAATCTAGTGCTTGGGGTTAACATTAGTAATTGATGAGGAGAAAGCATGGTGTGGTGGAAAGAATATTGACTTTTTCAAGTCAGAAGATCAGAGTCCATGCCCCAGCTCTTCCCTTTACCATCTGTGTGACCTTGGGCAAGCAGACGAGCCAAAGGATATTTGTCCATGAATTCCCTAACGAGATTGACCTCTCTGAGCCTCAGTTTCTCCATTTGTAAATCACACCCTCCACCCCCTAAGGTGAGGGAAAGCACTTTGTAACCCTGCAGTACCACATAGGTGTGAATTATCCTCATTTGACAGGATAGCTCCCTTTGCCTCTAGTAGGGGGATTCTTGGGAAAAGACACCTGGTTCCTGCTCTTCTATCCCCTCCCTGTCCCACCTCCCCCAACCCTGAATGCCCTTCTCTAGAAAGTAAAAGAGGAATTGAAAAGACTTGAGGGAGGATGTCACTTGGAACCTCAGATCAGCAGTTGGAGTTTTCAGCACGTCATACTCACCCTGCTAGAAGCATCTTAAACAGGTCTCCAGGCTGTGCTGCATGAACATTTTATAATGGCTTTGGAATAAAGAATGTTTGTTTGACTCCTTTGGAGTTGGGGGGAAGAGGGAGGGGTAAAGGAGATAAAACCCAAAGGCAAACATTTGAAGAGTTGATTGGGTGCGGATCTGGATCCACCCTGTGTTTGGTGTGGCCAGAGGAGGGCATTAGCCAGAAGCCAAGTCTAGGAAAAATGATGCTTATGGGCAATCAGGATACCCCTGTCTGTAGTGTAGGGGGGCCCCTAGCTTTCCGGGAGAAAATTACCTAAGCTAATGTGTTTTCTCTCAACAGCTACAGCCCAATACAGGCCCTGTGCCTCTCTGTGAATCCTACTTTTTAACTGCTCAGGGCAGCATTTATTGTATGCACAGAAAGTATGAAGAGCCCAGTAAATATTCACAAATCCGGGATCCAGGGATACAGTCTCCACCCCAACTGATTTGCCCTGTGTGTCATTGGGCCAGCTGTTTTCCCATCTGCACTAGAGAAACCACCACCTAGCTTGTGTCCCCCAAAGTCATTTGTAAATGGAAGAGAAGAAATGATATGGTATCTCTGCTGATTTTCTTGTTGTTGCTATACATCCTGATTAACACTAGAGGACGGTGGATTAGACTTGGAATCCGAAGCCCTCTGACACACACTAGCTTTTGTGACACATACTAGCCTTTGGGCAACTCACTTTATCAGAGACTTCGTGTCTGTAAATCTTACGTCTAAGACTGTAAGTGACAGAAAAGGGTGGAAGGAGTTTCCATGCTGGGAGTCTCCCATACCGATAAAACAACAGGTGGCTGCTTCCTCTCCCCCAAAAACAACAATGACCCTTTATGTCATGGGCATGCATTCACATTGGGATGCTGGGTACCCTGTAAAGTTAACAGTGGCCTCCCATGCAAATTTGCTCAATGCAAAGTGAAAAGATCCATGGAGAGAACGCCCCCCCCCTTTTTTTTTTTAATGATGCAGGGATGGGTGCGATTTCTGTGAATGCTACTGGGGCTGTGGTTGGGTCCATGGGTTAAATTCTCCAAAAACCTGCTCTTCGTTGCCTCCTGTGTTTGCAGGGAGAAGTGGTGCCACATGACCCAGGAGGAGCGTGATGACAGCCTCCGATTCAATGAGAACATCACCTTCGGGCAGCTTGGGTAAGACAGCGTGGGAGAGCACTTGGTCAGGAAGCAAGTTTAAAGCACCTACTATGTGCCAGGCACTGGGCATACAAAGAAAGGCAAAAGACAGTTCCTGCTGTCAAGGGGCGCAGAATCTAATGGGGAAACTCACTTTGCTTCCTGGTGCAAAAGGAAGATCCATTCCAACTCTAATTCCTAGGATTCTGTGACTAAGGCCATGTCCTTATTAACCTTTGGATAACCTTCAGAGGTTATCCAAGGAAGTGTGGGAGAAGGGGTCAGGAAGTCTGAGGTTCAAATTCTGCTGTGGACATTTACTAACTGTGTGACCTTGGACAAGTCACTTGCCCCTAGGCTTTGGTTTCCTCATCTGAAATTGGGTGGGTTAGAATCGGTGCTCTCTAAAGTCGCTTTTACTTAGCTCTCCAGACTGATGATCCTATGAACTATTAATACACTTCATGGATCTGTGACTTTGTTACTCTGTGTGACAGAATTAACTCCCCTGATGCTAATAGATCCTTACCTCAGTGGGTTGAATATATATCAACCTTATATAATATATATGATCATTTATATATGCATTATACAGTCATTTGTATTGCCCTCCCCCTGCCAAATCGTAATTCACTAGCTAAGCCTCAGGTGATGAGAGTTTCTAACCCTAATTAAGCTAGCTTTTAAATATGTTAGATTGGGAGCTCCCTGAGATCAGGGACTATCTTTTCGTATCACCAGTGCTTAACACAGTGCCTTGCGCACAGTAGGTGCTTAATACATGTTCACTGATTGATTAAAAAGCAGACACAGAGCCAGGTTTCAAGGCCTCTCCAGACTGACAGAAATTGCTAGAACTGACATTCCCTTTGAACAGCCTTTGAGGACATGGGAAATTGCTGGAAGAAGTAGAAATAGAGTAACCTGGGAATACTTCATTAACTGCATCCTGCATATAGATAGAATTCAGAAAGACAGCCGTGTGGTCTTCAGAGAAGGGTTCTACCTATCCATGGACACGGTGGTCAGTGAGAAGCTTGCTTCTCGCTTCGGAAGGGTATAAGTGTGTGGGTAGGAATCCCAAAGGGTGTAATGCGTGGTTTTCTTCCTCCAGCACATTTACCCACAACATGTTGGCTTTTGGGCTGAACAAGAAGCTGTGCAATGACTTTCTGAAGAAGCAGGCAGTGATTGGCAATCTGGATGAAGGTAAGGAGGCATGCCAAGTCTGTGAATGGCTCTGCTGCTGCTGAGAAAGTGTATAGAGGGGTTTTTTTTTTGGTTTGTTTGTTTGGTTTTTTTTAGTGAGGCAATTGGGGTTAAGTGACTTGCCCAGAGTCACACAGCTAGGAAGTATTATGTGTCTGAGGCTGGATTTGAACTCAGGTCCTCCTGAATCCAGGGCCAGTGCTCTATCCACTGCGCCACCTAGCTGCCCCGAAAGTGTATAGAGGGTTAAGGTAGGAAGTGGTCAGGGAGCAAGCAAAGGATTCATGGACAAATATCCCTTGGTTTTCCAGAAGACTTGGCTAGGTAGATTGTGTTGGGTTTTGTTTTCCTTTGAGCAGCTGAGACCTCATCTTTGGATACCTTGGAAAGTAAAATCTTCCAAATCTTCAACCTGAAGTCATTCTTGAGTCCTATTAATTACTCTCCTTCCAAACTGCCTTGTATGTACCAGCTTTATATATAGTTGTATTCATTTTAGATTTAGTTTTCTGTATTTTTATATAGTTTTCTTGTCTCCATGTTCATTGTGAATGGAAATTGTTTCATTCTTTGTATTTGTATCCTCAGTGTCTAGCACAGTGCACGGCACATAGCAGGTATTTTAATAAGTGTTGATTGTTAGACCTCAGATTAAATAGCTATACTTTTTACATCCCTTGTGATCTGGCACAATACTACCAATGCTTCAATACTAGCCTGTTGTGTACAGAGCACTGAGCTGAGTGCTAAGGAAAGTTCAGTTTACATAAAATTGTCTCTGCCCTCAAGGAACTTGCAATCTAGAAGTTACTTAATACTGAAGGTTGAATGCTTAGTAGCTAGACCTTGGACCTCTGGATCAGAGGTGTCAAACTCAAACACTACACCGTATTAAGACTCCCCAAAGGTCTATATTGACTTAGTTTTAATGTGATATTATCTATGTTTTATTGTATTTTATTTATTTTGTTAAATAGTTTCCCAGTTATATTTTAATCTGGTTCAGGTGGTATATAGTTGGGGTCAACAAGTACCTGTTGACCTATACTTGCCAAAGTTTGCTGTTTACAAATAGCTGCCTCCTCTTACCATGTGTCTCCATACCCATTCCACCCCTCCCTGATGCCACATACTGTCACAAAAAGTCTCCCCTCTGGCTTTCTATCTTGGAAACTTGCTCTCCATCCCCACCCCCCCCGCCCCCCCACTCCCCTGAATTGCTATGAAAATCATCATGAAAAAGGCTTTTTGATGAGTAAAGTAAGGGAAGAAACAACACAGTACAGAAAAAGAAAAGCAGTTTTCTAATAAACCATTTGCAACATCAAATGTGGTTCTAATGAAGATAGTAGCTAGCTTGTTTAACTCTTAAGCACCTACCGTGTACTTATCCCAGTCCCCTTAATTATTTAATGACAAAGAAGTGCCTTGTCTCTTTCCCAGACTTCCATCATCATCATCATCATCATTCATTGTTTTCCTGGAGAGCCCCCGCCCCCGACATACTCTCTCTCTCTCTCTCTCTGAGGCTCTTATACAAGCTGACATTTCCTATGTGAAATAACATTCTTTCTTCCAGAGCAATACAAGATGCTGAGTGACCACATTGAACGAATGGCTATTGAGTAGCTCCGTGGAGGGCGGCATCTGCAGCATCCACTGAGGGAGGAGGATGGGTAGACGTCTCTTCCCCAAACACCCAGGAATAACAGCCAGCTCCCAGCACCATTGCGATGAACCTGCATGAGTGTCCGCCATCCTTAGAGCCCCGGCCTGCCAGTAGACCTAGGAGTGAAGAAAAACTCCTGTCCTCTCCCCTTGCCTCGTCCTCCCTTGGGTGTGTTCCATAGCCACACACCACAGATGTTCCTCAATTTCTATGGCGAAAGCAGAATTGATGAGCTATCCGTACAGACCCAAATATCCTCATGTAAGAGGTAAAGACAAAAGAAGAGGAAGGGAGGCAGTCCTAAAGGCCTCTTGCTAGTTGTTGGCTATGAGACTTTGGGAAGGGTCATCGGACCAGTACAGCTGAATGCTGGGAACTGGGGGGCAGGGGAGTGGGTTTGGTGGGAGTGTAATGCATGCATGTCCGTGTAGCTGTAGGATCGTAGAACGTTGTAGAAAGGACCTTCCAATGTAGATTAGTAGACCTGGAAGGGCCCTTTGAGATCATCTAACCCAATCCCACATTTTTCAGATAAGGAAACTTGTCCCAGAGAAAGGAAGTGACTTATTATATAAGAAGTTAATGCAGGGCTAGGAATCTGAGGAGTTAAGTCCTGGTCTCCTGATCTATTAGTTGTACCTCAATGTCTCTTTTGTAAAGATAAATCTATAGTCTACAGGTCTGGGGTATTGCAGCTCTGATTCCTACAAACATGAAAGACTATATTCCGTAAGTCAGGGTTAGAGATCTAGCACCCTTTTCCTCAGGGCCAGAGATGTTGATTCTTTTGTGACCAGGCAGATGACACCCTATTCCATGTTCCTCCTCTGCTTGTTCCTTCTCCTTCCCTTTGAATATGGGGAGGTCATAAGAAGAGAGGACAACCTTCTGTTTTGCTGAAACAAGGGCAGAAAATTTTCCTTCCTGACTGCAGTAAGAATTGACCTGGGGCTAGCATTAGAAGAGAATTATAGTTAGATGTGTGAATGAGGCAGTGCTCTGGAGACACAGTAGGATTTGTGCGGACTTATTTGAGATGAATCCTATCAACACAGATGTGTCTGTGCCAGACTGCCTTGGAAGCTTTCAGGGTCAGCTGTTCCCTTTTCTTTTGTACATGACATATTGAGGGCAGCTTTTGGCTGCCTGCTTCAAAGGAGATGTAAAAGAAGAGGTCTGGTCTTCTGTTATCTGGAGTCTGCTGCCCTTCCTGAAACCAAACATCGATGCAATTTTCCTTTTTGGGCACAACCACCTTTCCCCACTCCCCCTCAAAAAATATATAATATCATATGTTTATATATAATACAAACTGTTCAGTGTTACATTGATCTCAGCGTGAGATGGTTAAGGGACAAGCAGCTTATGGTGGAGCTTGGCCAAATTTGGGGAGGGAGACCCCCTAAGAGGACCCTGGGGAGCAAAGCTTTGTATCTGAGCCAGTGTGTGTATGGAATAGATTCGTAAGTTGTGACCCTGATTGCTGTGGAAGTTCAGTGTTTTCTTACAGTATTCCAGTTATTGCTTACAAAATTCAGCCTATGGGGAAAGTCAAGAGCAGATTTTATAAGTAAGTGGTCTTGTTGGCACATAAATAAAGCCAGAACTGTGTGTTTACCCATATCACAGAGCCTCAGGCTCACCAGAGCTAGGAGAGGGGAGAAAGAGTATTAATGAGAACCTCTGCTTTCCTGGCTGCTCATCTGTCCTGCTTATCACCTCAAGCAGCTTGAGTCTTATCATTTCCTTCAATTCTCTGCAAATGCCAGCTAGTTCCATATTTATTCCTTGGAAGCTATGGTTTCCGGCTTCCAGCTTCTCATTGGTTTCCATCAGAAACACCAGATCAGACTAAGGTGCACAATGTATTATTATTTTTAAAGTCATTTAACTGATCGTATCTAAGGTATAAGCTCCCCCAAAGCCTGTTCTGCTTTTCCTAGTATAAATATTTCTAGTCAGAACCAACTTTTGTCTTTCTGTGGTTACAGAGCTAGTTAATCTCAATCATCCTGTCTCCTTCCCTTCAGAGAGGGTTCTCTATAGAAATTAAGAAAAAATAATTTTGTCTGGGTTCTTTCTCCTCCTTTCCCAGCTTACCCTCCCTGACCTATTATTACTTCCCTTTGCAACCCCCCATGATATACACCCCCTTCCCTCAGCCATTTCACCCCTAGATACTTGCCTGTGAATGTAGTGGATAAATGACTGATAGACACTTTTCAGCTCATATTATCTAAAAATGATCATCATCCTTGGCCTGGTGAGCCCAAAACAGATAGCACAGAGTGAATGAGCAATAAATAGGATGTATCTCTTGGACATTGGGTGACCCTAAGAAAGGGGCTTACACAAAACATGCCTCATCTGAATGTATTATTTATATGATTGGTCACCTCCAGGAACTAGATGATGGGGATTTGAGTTTTCTTTTCAATGATGCTGCCATTTAAAAAGCCATGTGTGATACTCTTGAGCCAGTCTCTTTGGTAGGGCCACCATGAAGGGCACTTGTGCCTATGATTTGGCCTAGACAGAGTACCAAGTCCACCAGAGTTCCACCAATGATAAGGGAATCCCCCAACAAATCACCAGGTCCCTGCCCTCCCCCACGTCTTTTTTGAAACTACTTTCTCAATGGTGTTAACTCTCACCTATGCTCTATGCACAATATCCCCACCTATAAAATGGAAGTGGGGAAAATAGTCCCCAAGATCCCTTCTTTAAGATTCTGAGTCTTGATCTGTTTTCCTTAGAATTGCTAGTTATAGTGATACTTTGACTTTCTGCGAGTCTTTGCTCTGAAGTGCTCCCCCAACAAGCACTTTGTGTCCATAAGCACATTTGAAGGCAGGTCTTGGCTTCTCTTACTGGACTTCTCTCCTGAGGCTCCTTCAAGGGAGCCTGCCATTGAGAGGTTGGGGGCACTAGGGAGGGTGTTTTGGTTTTTGGGTTTTTTTTGGAAAGGAATGGATTTTGGACACCTCTTCCTGCTTTCTTTGCATTTCACGATGGCTTCCATCATTTGCCGTTTTTCAATAAAGCCTTCCAAGTTCCTTTACCTTAGTATGTTTCCAGGCACATCTTTCAAAACTGATTTAAGGTAGAGGAAAAAGAGAAGGCTTGCTCTTGGCAGCTACTTCTGTCAGATCCTTATCAGATATAAATCAGATTCCAAGAAGCTACGGTGGAACAAAGTGTAGGGTGGGAAAGATCCATTACCTGATTGAGCCCATGCTTCTGGATAGTGCCAAAGGACAGGAAGGTGGGATTTGTACAGGATTTGAATTGGGTCTTCCTAAAGTCCCTCGAAAGCCCATTCTGGCTCAAACTCTATAATCCTCTGCTGGCTGCTTGCGTGAGCCAGGCTGTACTGACTGCTGGGAATCAAGCTTTCCTTGAGCAGGGCTATTTATTACTCTGCTGCTGTTCTATACAATAGTCTGAGAGTAGCACAGAATATGCTGAACTGCAGTGTCTTACCTAGCGTCCCTCTGTCTCCTGTAATGTCATCCGGGAATCTGTGATTCTGCCTCTCCCTCATTCATCCCTAGGCAGAACACAAACCGAGATGATCCAAAGAGTTGCCCTCTCTTGGGATGTTGTTAAACAAGGGTGCGCAGATTTCAAATACATTATTTTGCGGAGAAGCAGACTGCATCTACATTTTAGAATGAGTGGAAATGATAGCCCATTGTTGCAAAACTCAGGGACATTTGGTTCAGTGTCAGAAGCATCCGACAGTACCTGAGATGAAGTCCTTTCTGAGGGCAAGAAAGAATAGCCCTCAGAGTTCAGAGCTTTGCCCCTTTCTGCCCAGAAACCTCAGTACAGACATTAGCAGTACGAGATTTCTAACGTCTGACCTTGGGGACCATCTTTGTCTGTTCCAACCAATACAGTCAGCTCTTCCAGAAAGCAAAACCTTATCCAGTCTATACATGGCATACTTATTCAGAATATATATATACATATGTTGTAGGATATATGTGTATTGTACTTACATTGTAGGATAAGCATGTTGTGTGGTTGTTTGCTGAAGTGGCGTTTACCACTACACATTTCCTTAAGACTCGTTTTACTGATCAGATGAGTGGCTTGGTCATTTTACCAGGTACAGAGGAGGCAAACACTCATGGTGTCTTAAGCTCAGTCCATTGCTGATAATGCTAATATGGTTAGTAGCAGAATTTTTCTTTTTTAAAAGAAAAGGAGGTGGCTAGAGTTAAGAAAGACGAGTCGGGGCTTGGGGGAAGGTAGGAATGTTTCTGCATTCTGTGTTGACATTCCTGAGCTTAGGAACAGTATGCTGGCCTTTGAACCAGTTTACTCATTTAGGTGGATGTGTTCCAGGTCATGAAAAACCAGAGGTTGACCGCCTTCTCTGGTTCTTAGTCAATCAACAAACATTCATTTAAGGCTTACAGTGTGCCTAGAAATGTGTTAGGTGTCAGGAATTTTTTTAAAAAACTGCAAAAACATGGTCCCTGCCTTCAGAAAGCTTGCACTGCACTTCTTCAAATTGAAATTCCATAGAAGGACTTTGTCACACATGCCCCAGCCCCTTGGATTGAAGGAATCTGTTTTCAGGATTTTTACAAGGCCAGAGCTTTGTACTGTTACTGGCTTTGATAATCCATTGATCCCGTGCTTGATTCAGAGAAACAACTAGGTGGGTGGAGTTGTCCAGTATTCCAGAACAAGACTAGTCATAAAAGGCCAGGAATGGTATTTTTTTTTAAATCTGTAAAAATGAGGATAATGCCTGCCCTATCTCACAGGACTGTTGTGAGGTTCAAATAGGAGAACAGATGAAAGAACTTGGTGAACCAGAAAAACAGTAGAAGCACAATACTTTAGTCTAGGTTTTGTATTGGCCATTTTAAATTTCCTTTTAATTTCCTCATGCTTCTTTGTAAGATTCAGTCAGCTCACACCGGCCACCCTCCTATATTTGTCTTACTTCCAACCTAAATGATTGTCTTGGAGAAGTCCCTCCTTCCCAGCTCAATTCCATGGAGCCTAGTTTGGGGTGAAGGGGCATTTTGAGGGCTGCAGATACCTCCGATTCTATTCTAACTCATTTTCCAGGTTCAAATTTCCCACAGTCCCAAGGCTGACTTTGACTTCCAGCAATACAAATAAATAAATTGAAGCCTACCCTCTGTTACCTGAAGTGATTGGGAATTGAGTGTGCTTGTTAATTAAATACATACTCAGGTTCACGGAAAGTTACCTATGGATGACTGATTTTCAGAGTATGAGAATAAGAAATCACTAAAACCACATTGAATGCTATTGAATTTTTGACTTGAGATCCAGGGTCATTCAGTACTGTTATTTTGAATCCCATTGTGGACAGGTGAAAATGTAATGTAATATGGGTTAATAGAATGCCAGCACAACCTGTCTTCTCCCTGATCAAGCATTGACAGCTTGCCCAAAGCCACACAGTTATATCACCTACCAAGTCAAGATAGCACTGTCTAAAGAAGTCTTTGTGATTTCCTGGACAATGCAAGAGTATAAAATGTCATGAAATAGGTGAATTGTTGAGCAGTTCTGGTTTTCCCTTTTATTTATGACTTGATGAAACAATACCAGACACTATCTCCTGCCCAGCCTTAATAGATGTCTAATCACATCTCTGCCTAATCAAGGAAGAGGTCACTAACTCCCTTGCATATCTCACTTCCTCTGACCTTTGATTGCAATTTGAATTATCTCTATGACAACTTCCAAGTGCTGCTTCACAAAATTAACAGGAACCCTGTATGAATATCTTAACACAGTAATGAGAAGAAAATATTCTGCCTGTCCCAGATAGAAGAATGTGCAATGGTAATACAACTGAACTGGTCTCCTCTGAAGGCAAGAGAGCGCTATTGATTCAGGTTGGTTGCTAAGGAGGGACCAGTTCAATAGGCTCTAGTGCCTCCTAGCTGTCTCCAGTCCCTCCTCTGATGCTCACTACCCATCTGACCTTGAGCCAGTGACTTATTCTCTCTGGACATCTGTTTCTTCCACAAAATAAAGGGGCAGGACTGGATCAGGGCTTCTTAACCTTAGGCATCTGGTGAAGCCTACGGACCCCATTTTGGAATAATGTTCTTTAAATGCACAAAATGAAATGTATAAGGCTGCAAAGGAAACAGATATATTCCAATATAATGTGTAAAGAACCTAGGAATCCTTTAAATGAGTTCCAAGGTCCCTTCTGTCTTCTGGGATGAATAAAAGATGAAAAGGAACACTGCCTGGCATTCATTTTTACCAGATCCCTTAAACAATAGAGTAAATTGAAAGGTTTTGGGACACTAGCAGTGGGAACTGTTTTTTCATGTGTCCCTTTAAGAAAGTTCCCAATTCTCTTGTGTGTGATGGGTTATGCTTACCTCACTACCTGTGTTATAATTGTGATTTCTATTTGAGGTGTCTGGTGATTTGTGTTCTCTGTGCATTTCTCCCTTACTTTTTGCTTGAGTCACTCTTGAGTTTGCCTTTGCTCAGCTGAGACCTTGTTATCGCCACATCCAAACATTGCCTCTCCACGTCCGGCCGCCATTGATTGAAGAATGATGTATATATAGCTGTTGCCCCAGTCTGCGTGTCCTGATGGGTGGGGGTTGGGTTTTTTTAAATTTTGTTTTGTTTTGGTTTTTTGGGTGGGGGGAGGAGGGGCAAACTGAGTTTCAAGGACAGCTGCAAAGTGGTGTTGGAATCCAAGCTGTTGTGAAGGGAAAAAAATTGTATCGCACCTTGGACTGTCAAAGGGAGGGAACAGAAATAAATTATCTTTTAAAAAAAAGTCAGCCTGCTTAAGGTTTTGGGGGGTTTTTTTGGTCATAATATAGAGATATTTGAAGACTTGTTAAAAATTTGCATGCCTCTCAGTCACACCAGTGGGTTTCTGGGGGTGACTTTTTCAGAATGTTTGCCTGGGTGGAAGTATCTCCCTCAACTGGGTCAGACACTTGTGCTATCTTAGTCTCTGTGTGTGTGTGTGTGTGTGTGTGTGTGTGTGTGTGTGTGTGTGTGTTTTGAAGGTACGTCTATAGATCTAACCTGCCTCATGCTATTTGGTTCTACAAAAACAGTGTTAGGTCCTCAGAAATGTTATCAGAGATAATAGGATTTAGAGTCAAAAGGGCCCTTAGAGAGAAATTAGTCCAACTCCCTCATTTTATAGAGGCCTATAACTAAGGCCTAATGAGGCGTGGCAAAAAAGACACTGGATTTCAGCCCTGCTACTTACCACTTGTATGACCTTGGGTAAACTGAGGTTTCTTCCAGTTATAATGGCATGAAATTTCCCCTGTAACTATATATTTAAATATATTATTATATATTATTAAATATGAAATTAAGTATATTTAAATGTATATAAAATATAAATAAAGGTGATCACTAAGGGCTCTTACAGCTCTAAATTCTATGAGCTTTCCATTGCTGTGGAGTTCGATACTCCTGAAGAGTGTGTGTTCCTGCAGCCTCTGGCAGCATAAAATGGTGGTTGGGTAGGGGATAGGGCTAGAAAACTATGCATCTGGTTTTTCCAAGGCCTCAGTTGAGGGTAGAAAATAAATCCCACAAGTGACTCAAATGTCATTCTTGGGAGATGAGAAACATTCAGAAAACTTTCTAAAAGGCACACCTTCCTGTGGAAGGTGAGAATGTGAATTTGTCTGGCCATTCTGGAAAGCAATTTGGAAATATGCTACAGATAGTGACTAAAACTATCTGCATCCTTTAGCCCATATCTCACTGCTAGGCATATGCCCAAAGGGGTCACAAAGAAGGGAAGGTCCCATATATGTCAAATATCCATAGCAGCACTTTTAGGAGTGGCAGAAGAATCAACTGGGAAATAGCACAGTAGAAAGAGCATTTTACCTAGAGTCAGGAAGACTTGAGTTCAAATCCAGCCTCAGATAGTAATCGTTGTGTGACCTTGGACAAGTCACTTAAACCTCTGCCTCTGTTTCCTTAACTGTAAAATGGAGATAATAGTGCCTTCTTCCCAGGGTTGTTGTGGGGATCGGATAATATTTGTAAAATGATTAGCATAGTGCCTGACACATAGTAGGTGCTATATAAATGCTAGCCATCACCATCATCATGTGGCTAATGGAATAAAAGTACAATACAATAAGAAATGATGAATATTAAAAATTCAGAGCAGAGTTGGAAGATTTATAAGAACCAGTGTAGAGTGAAGGTAAGCAGAACAAGGAAAAGAATACCCACCATGATATAAATAGACCACTGCCAACAGCAACGAAAACCAAATTCAATTCCAAGTTTGGTTTTGAGAAGAGCAGAGATGCACCTGCCTTCTTTGAAGAGCTGGAGTCCAGGGGTGTGGAATAATTCAGATGCCATCAGCCCTGGGTTATTTGTAGTTAGTTTTGTTATTTTTCTGTCTTTCCATGATGAATGGCTCACCAGGTTGGGAAGGAGGGTGGACATATTCAGAAATGAACAAAAGATAACAATAAAAATTAAAGGCAAAAGAAACCACCAAATTCTTTAACAAGTGTATTCTTTTATGTCCAAATATCAGAAAACTGCGCTGTGCTTTACACTACTTAGATCATGACGGGAGTATTATGTTCAATTCTGGGCACTGCATCCAAGAGAATTTTTGTTTAAAAAATAATAGCTAGCAATTCAAGCTTTTAAGGTTTGCAAAACTCTTTACGAATATTTTATTCTCATTGTAACCCTGAGAAGTAGGTGCTATTACTAGTTCACAAATGAGGAAACTGAAGTAGACAGGTCACCCAGCTAGCAAGTGTCTGAGGCTGGATTTGAACTCGTGTCTCCCAGCCCTCTTTCCGTTGTGTTCCTTAGTTTCCTAAAATTAGAACGTCTCCAGAGAAGACTGTAAAATAAGGTGGAGAAGGAAATGTCAAACCATTCTATCCTCTCCAAGAAAACTCCAAATGGGAACGCGAAGTTGAGAGCAACTGCAAACAGAAGGGTGATCAGGAGGAGAGAAGTCTGGAGACCAGACCTCCAAGAACAGTTAAAGGAACTGCGGATTTTTAGCCTGAAGAAAAAGACTTGTGGGAGATTGTTCCCTCAAAATATCCCCAGGGCTGTTGTGTGGGTAGATAATGAATCATCCATTTAGGGAGTCCTGCTCTAGGGGATAGAACATTTCACTGCCTTTCCAATAAAGAAATGGGACAAGTGCTCGTAAACAGGAATGTAGCATCTGGTGCTCTTATATAAAGGAGTCAGTCAACTTTCCCAAAAGGGAAGATTTTTTTTTTAAACTGTTAGAAACCTTAGGGAAGAGCTGCAGTCCAAGAATATGGTTTGGACCTGGAAGTAACCCTGGATCTGATATCAGCCAACTCGGGTTCACATTCCAGCTTTATTTCAGTTAGAGGTGAATGTAAATAACACCGTAAATCTATCCACAGACACCTGCACCCCAGATGAAGAAACCCGGATCTAGAATTGCAATAGCAAGAATGTTAAGGCTGGTCATAGGCTGAAAGATGTTGGTTGAGCTGGAGCGGGCCTCAGAGGTCCCTCTCATTTTACAGATAAAGAATATTAAGTGATCCGAGCAAACACACAGGTTAAGGATCTATCCACCTTCATGTTACAGAGAAGCAAAGAGAAGGGAAATTCTTTGACCAAGATGGGGATGTGAGATGACCCAGGAAGACACCTTCTCTGGAATTTATAGTCTGAAACAGTCACCTCAGGCACTGAGATGCTATTTCCCCAGGGTCAAACAGTGTCTGAGATGGGACCTATATCCAGGTCTGACATCTTTTTTTTTTCTTTTTCTTTTTGGTGAGGCAATAAGGATTAAGTGACTTGCCCAGGGTCACACAGCTGGTAAGTGTCAAGTGTCTGAGGCCAGATTTGACCAGGTCTGCCATCTTGAGGCTGGCTCTATCCACAACTGTCTCATGCTTGGTCCATGGTCAGTAGCTAGATTCAAGGTTCTCTACCTTCAAACCTGATGTAGGTTAAGCTCTATCACATTAGGAGTAAATTGGGTCCTTGTCTCATTTGCACTCCTGAGCTCATACCACAAGCCTTCCCTTCCCTTCTCCCCCATTTTATTTCCTGCATTTCTGCTTCTGCCTGAGTGTGAAGTGGAGGGAAGAGGGTATGGAAGATGATCTTGACTGGCCATAAACTGAAGTAGTCTTGGGGACTTCCAACCCCTCTCCTCTGAGCCTGCCTAAAGAATAATAGCTCAGGTTTTCTGATGTTGGATTAGAAGGCTTTATTTATTTATTTAGAAGTCTTTATATCCATCAACTCCATCCCCTGCTGGAGCAGAGCTCAGAGAGAGAGAAATTCTTAATCTACCTCCCACTGACCTGGGGACTCAGACGAGGGTGAGGGTGACATGGGATTGATTGAATCCAGAGTCATTATACAAAAGGGTGCTTGGTGACATGAGAAAAGCCAAGGTCATTATTGTGTTTTCTGTGCATGCTCTGGTACTCGGCAGGGAAATAAATCCTTTGATTTAGAAGCCATCCTCAGTGCTGCTATCCAAGTGGTATGGGTTATTAGTCACTTGAAAGTTTGGTAGGGAGGAGGGAGTTTATTAAAGAAGGAAATTACTCCAATCCTCCCAGGCTCCAGAGTGAAGCAAGGAGAGAGATTGTAAGATTGAGAGCTGGAGAGGGACCGTCTAAGTATGTACTCCTCATTTTGAAAAGGAGAAAAATAAAGCCTGCCGAGGGGAAATTATTTGCCTAGGGTCACATGGGAATACATGGTACTGTGTAGTGGGATTTGGAGTTAGAAGATCTGGGTTTGAATCCTAGGTCTCTAACTTAGTACCTCTATAGTCTCTTGGATACTGGGCTTTTCTGGCATTAAAGACTGGGTGTTTATTAAAAGGAATATTATGAAGTGCCTTTGATTCCATCCCTTAGCATATTGGGTGCTAGGCAGCTTGCCTGTTCATCTTCCTTGCTCTGTTACTCATGTAGGCATAAAATCAATTAAAAAGTATTTACAGAGTGCCCAATGTGTGCCAGGTTCTGTGAATACAAGTGCAAAGAAGGAAGGGATCCCTACTTGTAAAGAGCTCTTGGTCTAGTGTATAGTTTTTCACATCGAGTGAAATAATCTGCTAACCTTTGCACATTCACACAATGTAAGTGGAGGAAATAAGGGCCCCTTGAGAAAGGTTTCATTCCACAGAAAACATTGGACCTCTGAAAAGAAGGAACAGCTGGCCATAGTGACATTCCCTGGCTGTGATCCAGAGAGGCTGAGGTGGGTGGCTCAAGAGGTTCAACTGATCTTGTGTCCTCACTAAATCTGGAGCAAATATGCTGATCTCCTGGGAGGAGGAGGAGGCCACCTGCCCAAGGAAGGGTGGGGGAACCGACACAGGTCAGAAACGGAGTGATAAGGTCAGTGAGTGGCTGCTGAACAGAACTTCAGCCTGGGTGAGATGCAGAGACCCAGCCTCAAAACAACAGCAACAAATGGTAACAACAGCAAGGACCATGGAGAGCGGATCACGCTCAGTAGGGTGGAAAGGTGCCTCTCAGCAGTGAATGTTATGACATGAACCTGTATTTATTAAAGTCAGGCAGCCAGGGAGTACAGTGGATAGAGCACTGGGTCTGGAATGACAAAGACCTTAGTTCAAATCTGGCCTCAGGCACTTACTAGTCTTGTGACCCTGGGCAAATGACCTCTACCTGCCTCAGTTTCCTCCCATGCAAAATGGGGATAATAATATCACCTACCACACAAGGTTGTTGTGAGGATCACATGAGATAATAATTGTAAAGCACTTAACACAGTGTCTGGCATATAGTAAGTGCTATATAAATATCAGTGATTGTTATTATTGTCTCCTCCCAGATAAAATGAGATAGTATTTCTAAAATGCTGTATACATGCTAGCTACGATTATTACTGCTGCTATTATTATTATTATGAGATAATTGTAGAATGCTTAGCACAGTGCCTGGCACATAGTAAGTTCTAGACAAATGTTAGTTATTATTATCATCATAATTATCATTATTATTAATAGCTATGGGATACCATGCAAATACAGGAAGATCTGTGATTTCATCAGTATGGGAAACTTCTAGTGTGGGAATTTTTTCTACCACAGCAGATCACCATATATAGCTAAGTCCTAGGGAGTTGTCTGAGATGCAGAGAGTTAAAAGTGACTTTCTCAGGATCACACAGCCAGTAAGTGTCAGAGGTGGGGTTAGAACTCAGGTGCTCCCAACCCCAAGCTCAACACTCTATATCTCCTATGCTAGGTTGCCTCTTCTAGTGCCACCTATACAAATACAGTTATCCCTTCCACATCACAGGGGTGAGGGGCTTGACATTTTCCAGATTGTAGGAGGTGCTATGACCCTAATCCCCATGATCTGGAAAATCTGCATAAAATTTTTTGGCTCTCCCTTCGTACCATGGAAGAAGTCTGAATTATTATGGTATTAAGAAGATAAAATATGTTAATATTATACAATGCTACAGATATATTTTATGCATTTCTGAGTTCCTAAGCTTTTTCTTTATCATCTGCCTTCACGTGTTGTCTGTGACTTCTGTTAAACTCCCCCTAAATTGTCATTTAATTTCTTATGCTGATCCACAGTATATCAAAACCGCAATGGGAAAAGTCCCAGTGTGGAAGGGATAACTATACTGCTAGACAGCTCATTCTCCCATTTTTTTTTGGCTCATTCTCCCATTCAAAAGGCTTTTTTGTCTTTGTCATGATTTTTATCCTCTAGCAATAATAACAATGATGATTGTCCTGTGTCCCGTTTTCCTTTGCAGCAGATGGTACAAAGGAAGCTTGTAGGCTTTCACTGAATCTCAAAACTAGAAAAGTCCCCTTTGGCCATCTTGCCCAACCCATACCTGGCCAAGAATCCCCTCTATGACATATCCTATGGGGGCTTATCTAGGCTTTACGCTAGTGAGGCCGCAATGACCCAAGCCATCCTATTCCACTTTCAGACAGCTGGAAAAGTTGGAACATTTTCCCTTCCATTAAGCTCAAATCTTTCTCCCTGGACTTTCCACCTGTCGCTTCCAGTTCTACTCACTGGGGTCAAGCAGAATAAGTCTAACCCCTCTTCCACATGGCAGGCCCTCAAATCAAGTCAAGTCAATAAGCATTTTTTAAGTTTTATTAAGCACTTGAGGTGTGCCAGGACTGTGCATCTGGGAACACAAAGAAAGGCAAAAACATGGTATCTGCCCTCTAGGAGCTTCCATTCTAATGGAGGAGACTATGTGGAAACCATTATGTGCATACAAGATTTACAGGATAAATGGGAGTTAAATTCTTGAAGACAACTCTCAAATCTTCACCTGACTCCACCCCAAAGTCTATTATTCTCCAGGTTAAGCATTCTTAGTTTATTCAAATGACCCTCAGGTAGAAGGATCCCAAGGCCTTTTCCTACCAGGATTACCCTCCTCTGGACACTCTCCAGTTGATCAACTTTGTTCAATACAGTTTTCTGGAACTAAAGAGTTAACACATTGGAACCAACTAGAGCTGGAAAGGCAGATTTAGAGGCAACTTAGTCCAACTTCTTTATTTTTCAGATTAGGAAACTGAGGCCCCAGAGGTTAATTGTTCCAGGTTGTACAAGTAATAAGTGGCAAGGATTGCATTTAAAATTTGGCTAGGACTTGAACCAGGGTTCTTTGAATCTAACTCCATTGTATTTGCCATGAACTACAGTCTCCTCGCACCTATTTCTCTTTCATTTCATAAGAAAACAATCACACTACCTCAGAGATGAACAGCATCCCTTCAGTCGGAGTGTTGTCAACAATCACAGTGTCAGAGAATTGGCACTGGAAGGGACGTTAGAGGCCACCATTTTATAGACAAAGCAACTGACTAGGGCTGACCGTATTACTTCCTGACTCCTCTTTCTTCTATTAAATACAAACTCCTCTGGCACGGGAAGCTCTTCACAGTCTGGCTCTGACCGTAACTTAACTTTTGGAATTAATTTTACATCATTCCCTATTTTCTTCCAACCAAACTAGTCTTCTTGTTTCCCTAATAAGACACTGCCATCTCCCACCTCTAGACTTTGTACAAGAGGTTGTTGGGAATGCTATCCCTCCTTACCTCTAACTCCTGGATTCCCTAGTTCCCTTCTAGCCTCAATTCTGGTACCACAACCTATAAGAGGCCTTTCCTAATCCTCCTCAGTTTATATAGTATTCTCCTGGATAATGCTTGGCAAACACTTTGTGTTTCTTGAACGAGCCAATGTAGGGGAAAGAGAGCTAAGAACACCTGGGTCCAGGCTTGTCTCCCACGTATATTTGCAGTGTGGTCCTGGTCAAATAATTTAACCTCTCAGTGCTCTAGGGAACTCTCTAGAATGCAAAGTTGCAGAAATAGGGCCAAGCTACATTGATGGAGGAAATTCCTCACTGGGGGCTGCCAATATGAATGAAATAATAGAGCCAGCCTCAGTGCCTTATCTGTGTACATACTGTTTCCTGCAGTAGAATATACACTCCTTGAGGGCAGGCACTGGGTTTTGTTTTTGTAACCTAGCACAGTGCCTGGTACACAGTAGGTGCTTAATAAATGCTTGTTAAATTGAATTGACAACACTAAACAAAAACATTCTGGAAATGACCACCCTAAGACATATTAACAAGGGCTATCACCATTGTCCTCGTCGCTGTCATCATCATCATCATCATGGCTAGCATTTATAATGACATTTTAAAGTTTGCAGAGCACCTTACAAATATTACCTCGTTTGATCCTCACAATAACCCTGGTAGGTGCTATTGTTATCCCCTTTCATTCATCGCTTATCTTTTTATTTATTATATTATTAATTATATATTATTGTTCTATGTAATAATATTAAGCCATTATATTATTTTATGTCTTTATTTATTATCCCCCATTTACAAGTGAGGAAACTGAGACCAAGAGAGACTAAGTGATTTGCCCAGGGTAACACAGCTTCTTTCAAAACTCAGAGTGTCTGGAGAGAGCCACATTTCCATCACCAGAGAAGCCAGATGCAGAGATTAAAAAAAAAACAAACAAGCAACCATTAAAAAACACAAAACAAAACAAATGAAAAAGCACAGAATTTGCTTTCCAAAGATGCAGCTGGAAAATCCATACAATTCCAGGGGAGCTAAGAAAACAGTCCTATTGATGTACCATAGGAAATAATCACTCTAGATTACCACCAAGGGAACCCAATCTATCCATTCAATTTTTTCATGAGTCAGCTTTTCTCCAAGTTCAGCATCGCACGATGGGAGGGATTCTTAGTACCCAGGTTACTTTTATGGATTAGCTTTGCCACTCTGGTCTCTGCATTTAAACAGCTTAGATAAGTGGGGTCAGATTCAGATAGAAATAAGGGATCACTAAAATGTACCTAAAATGTAAGGCACCCTGCAGGCTACATTTTGATTTATAAAACCACATATTAACAACATCTTTGTTCTATTGTATTTGTTAAATATTTCCCAATTATGTTTTGATCTGGTTTAGGGCTCCCTCGGGAATGCTGCCAGCTGCCTGGGGCCCCATGTTAGACACTTCTGGCTTAAAGCATGTCAAAGGGTTCTATGGATGAAGAATAAACTTAACACCGTGTTAGGAAAGATACAGAATGCTCGTTCAAACTTCAGTGTTGGTGACTGCCAAGGGATGGTTATCTTCTCATCCGAGAAGTCCTTGTTTCCCTGAGATCCTCTATTTCATCCTCTTCCACAGAGGCCTCACCACTTAGTGTCTCTTCCTCTAGTTTCTGGTTCTGCATGGTGCTCTGGGCACTCTAAAAAGAAGAGAAACATCGTCATCTATTAGCCAACGCTGCAGATTACTGCAATGCGTCGCTGATCTCACTTAGATGGCAGCCATCAGATTTGAAGCAGGAAGAGTCTTTGGAGGCCATCAGAATCTTGTAGCATAATCAGAACTTTAATCTGGGTCTCGTGACTCTGAATCCAATAGTGTCCAAAAATGCCAAGAGGCTGGGGTGGAAATGGGAGAAGAAAGGGGAGAAAGAGGAGAGAGAGAGAAAGAGAGTGCCCAAGAGCCAGGCAATACTGGAATTACGGTTAATGCGACTGTAAAGCTCAGGGGCAAAACTCGCCTTGGATTTAGTGACTTTTAGAAGATTAGCAAGAATTTCTTCTAAGCCCCAGCTGCCCATTTTCAGGGAGCTCAGTAATATGTCACTGCTACAGGACAGGTTATGTGGTACCATAGATTCAAGAAATCTGGGTTCAAGTCCTATCTGTGCCGACTGTTTGATATCACTTCCCCTCTCTTGGACTCAGTATAGTCATCTGGAAAATGGAAGGGGTTAGACTAGACAGTCTCCTCCACACCTAATATTCTGTGGCTTGAGAATGTGTAGACATAGCTTTGGAAGGAATGGGCATATTTATTCAGCTTCATAGCAAAGTTCTAAAGAGACACATACTTTAAAAAGAAAACAACAAATGTTAAAAATTGTTTTTACATGTAATTGTAGGAAAAATAAAATATTATTAAAAAAGAGAAAGACAAGTGAAATTGCTGTTCCATCCTCAAAACACTTTTTCCTTCCTCACAACTCTTAGGACTTTGCCTTAAAAGGACTTGATGCTCATTTATTCTCATTTTACAGGTAGGGAAACTGAGTCCCCGGGAAGGGAAGTGACTTACCTAAGTCACCCAGCTAGTGAGTAGAAAAGTCAGGAACTGAACCCAGGTCTTCCAATTCCTAGTGTAGTGTTCTTTCCACTAGACTAGGCATGCAAAACCTTCGGCAGGAAGGTAGAGGAAAACAAATGCACACACTAGACCATGTGGCTTTTCCTAAATGCTTGTTTTAAAAGCAACTATTTGTTCCCCAAAATGGTACCATGGAAAGACCATTGCTTCTAGACCAGAGGACCTGGGTTCAAATCCCACCTCCAGTGCTATTTGTGATGCTGGGCAAATCACTGAACCTTGTTAAAGTCTCCTCAGTTTCCTCATCTGTAAAGTGAGGGCATTGGATAAAATGGTGTCCGAGACACATTCTAGCTCCACATCCAAGATCCTGAGTTCCAGACATTTGAAAAGATGTAACCACTTGTGGGGCCATTGGTAGGTCACTTCATCTTTTTAGATTCTGGGTTTTTTTCCCTGTAAATTTAGGGGATTAGATATATGACATCCAAGGACATGAAACTAACATCTCTCTGGAACTTAATTTGAGCTAAGAACTGTAGGTATAATTTTTGCTGCCAATGGCTTTAAGTTAATTCAGAATAATTTACCAGTTCTCACCTTGGGCCTGTTTGCTCTGTTCACCATAGCTAAACATTTCCCAACACTTACCGGACTAGCAAAAGACCATGGTACAGATGAAGAGGGGTTGGTAGCATTGATGGGTCTTGCATCAAGATTCCCACTAACACCATGTATCTTGGCTCTAAAATCCTATAGAAGTAAAAACATTCTTGGTTGGATTTTAGTATCAAAGGACAACATAACAGGAAATAAGAAAGGGAGGGATAGCAAAAGAAGCTAATTGTAGGATTTGTTTTAGCAATAAAGAAGAAGTTCCATGGTGTTGTAGAGGTGAATAGAAGACCTCGGTTTGAGTGATGCTTCTGATACACGCTGGCTGTATGACCCAGAACAAGTCAGATGCTTATTAGATGTGTTACCCTAAGCAAGTCACTTAACCCTATTTGCTTCAGTTTTCTCATCTGTCAAATGAGCTGGAGAATGGGGTCAACGAAGATTTAGACATAATCCATGGGGCATCTAGGTGGCACAGTAGTTAGTGGTCAGGGACTAAAGTCAGGAAGACCTGAATTCAAATTTGACCTCAGACACTTACTAGCTGTGTGACTCTGTGCAAGTCACTTAATCCTGTTTGCCTCAGTTTCCTCACCTGGAAAATGAGCTGGAGAAGGAAATGGCCAACAACTCTAGTATCTTTGCCAAGAAAACTTAAGATGGGGTCACCAAGAATCAGACATGACTGAAACAAGTGAACTGCAAGCCTTTCAATGTTTTAGGCAACTGTCGATAGTTGCAGAAAAACTTTGCACTGGTAGAGGAAGTTATCTTACTAACCTGGAATTACTTACTGCTTGGAACAGGAGTTCCCTATTCCAGTGAAATCAAAGGTCCTATCTATTATTGTTGGTATCATCATCATCATCATCATCAAATCCCAAATGCAGCTCCTTTCTTTTGCCATGATTCAAGGAAAGGGTGAAAATTGTGAAACTTATCACTGCAGACTTTAAAAATCTAGTCCCTACCAAATGCCTAGCAAGACACAAGTTCATAGCTGGAATTATAACTGAGAAGCTCACTGCGCTACTTGGACTGACAGATGACAAGTTCTGGAACTACAAATGCAGTACTCAAGCAGTAAGCTCTACTAGCACTAAAGCCTTATCACAGACCAAGCTGTTGCCCCAAGTCAAACCCGATACAATGTTATCTCTAAAAACTTCAAAAATTTTAATCTTATTTTTAAGGTCTGACATAAATAAAATTTTCTCTCTTTATCAAATACTCAACTTCCAGGCTATGTGGAATTAAAGCTTTCAAAATATAAAGATGAGGCATAGTGCCTAGCACATAGTAAGAACTTCATAAATGTCGATTGATTGATTGATGTAGCAGAAGAGTCAAAATCAGCTGGAAACAGGAGGAGCTCATTCTTATTGTCCCTTCTGCTGCTTGAGAATGCTTTCAGGGAGTCTGCAGAGGATAAGTTTGCATCTTAATATTTTTATTCAACTTCAAAAAGCAGTTATTTTACTCACCTGTACAATTGTCTGTAGAATACTAAATGTAAAGGAATAATAGCAAGAAATTGACACGTCCTAAAGCCATTTCTATCTGAACCCCATCAAACAATATGAGAAAGAATGAATGAAGACTTTATTAAGTGCTTACTTTGTATATGGGGCAGCTGGGTGGCACAGTGGGTACCAGGGCAACCCCCACTCTCACTACACCATCCTTCTCTGATCATGTTTTCCCTTGATGATCAAATAAATAGCCATTGATGGCAAAACAAACCCATTGAAAATTGTATAGTACTTGTGTCAAGAGGAAATTTCCATCCATGAAATTTGACATCAGTGTCTCAAGTTCCTTAGAACAGGTTTTAGAATGAATAATATAGTTTATTTTAAAATTAACAAAAGTTATTCTTGGGAAAAAGATATGAAGGAACTAGATTCAGTAATATCAGACCTCAAACCATATTATAAGGTGAGAGCAGTGTTGAAATGTAAAATGGATAATTGTAATTATTTTAAATTAAAATTTTCCTGTATAAATAAAACCTATGTAGCCAAGAATAGAAGGAATGCAGAAAAATTGAGGGGGAAAAGTCTCATAGACAGTCTACCAGATAGAATGTGATTGGGTTAGAATATTGTTGTAGAGCAGTAAGTGATGAGCTGGTGGATTTAAATTTATAGAGAAAGATGCTATCCACCTTCAGAGAAACAGATAACAAGCGGAAATAGGCATAGTTCAGTTTTATGTATATGCATTTGAGTGTGTACGTGCATATATATACGTATATGTGTGTATGTATGTACACATATATGTACATATATATAGATATATAGATGTGTGTGTGTGTGTGTGTGTGTGTGTGTGTGTGTGTGTGTACATGTATAGCCACACTTAATTTTAGCCTTTTTTTGGAGGGGGATCAGGGAGGAAGGGGAAAAATAAAATAAAAAGTACACAAAAAGAGAACAAAAGAAAACATACAAGGAAGCAAAGCTTTGAAAATAATGTGTAGTATTCATTTATACAGGTTTTCTTGAAATGGAAATTTATTCTCTCATGTTCTTGCTATGTAGACTGGCAATTTTTTTCTTTTCTTATTTTGTATTTAAATTTAAAATACGCTTAAAAATTATTTTTAAAAAAGTTTTTAAAAGTTATTCTTCTGTGTAGTTGGGGTGGGGGAAATATAGGAGGAAAAGTGATTTTTTACTCACCTCTAGATCTCTTTCCAAGTCATAGTTTTCCAGTATCTGGAAGGCCTTGGAATATACCTCCACAGCCTTGGCATGAAAAACCATCTCAATGGTTACAAAGTCGGAGAAAATTTTCTGGGTGGGGGGAAAAAGCCTCAAAATATCACCATATCAATAACCTGTATTTCTATAGAGCTTTCCATTTTATAAATCCTCTTCTTCACAACAACATGGTGCCTGGCATGATGGCTTACACCTGTAATCCCTACATCTGAGGATTTCTCTCTAAAAGCTTTGTAAGGGCCTGTGAGCATTTCCGTCTTCAAAATCACATTGTTGACCCATGTTGAGTCCTCCAAAATCTCTAGATCTTTTTCAGGACTGCTTTGAGCCATGCTCTGCCTCCCATACCCTTACCCGCAAATGTGTTTTAGGTGTTTACACCTTCCTGAAATGCCCTCCTTTTTTGTCATGAAGATGTTTACCTCTGGGTAATCCTCCCCAGCAGTAGGAGATTGAGTTTAGTTGTGAAAAAATCAGATGCATAGCTCTGAGGCCTAATCTGAAGGACATGAAAATCTCCAACCAGATCCTCTCTGTGATATAATGTGTCCTGGCTCCCAAGCCACGCCAGGTCTGACTGTGGGTTACGTGAGACCCTAGGATAAAATAGATGAGAGCTCCTGATGGACTGTCCCTCCCAGAGGTATGGTAGCAAGGGCCAACACCAGAGAAGATGGCAAGGAAAAACCCTATGTGGCCACAGATGAGCCACTGTAAACTTAGAGCCTTAGTGGCTACCTTCTTCCTCACCCTCTTATACATGGCACTGAGACTCTCCCAATATTTGGGCCAGTCTGACCAAAGTGCAGCAGCCTTGGCTGGATTATGGGCTTACTGGATCTCAGTGGAGACTCCGAGGTGTATCTCTGGTGTACAACCTCAGCTGAGTTTCTCTACCACCCCCATTTTTATTACTAACACCCTCTTTTTGGGGCCCTCTAAATCCTACCATCCTTCAAGGCCCAACTTCTGCAAAACTCTTTCCTATTCACTATTGCCCATCAGAATCTCTTGGCCCTCTCATTGGGTATCTTCTCTTATCTCATTGGGTATCATGTTTGGCATCTAATGGAAAGCAGACAATCCCTATCTACTCCAGGCTAGTTATACCCCACTATTGTCAGAAGTAGGAATACCAGAAGACGGTGCTTCTGAAATCTCTTTGTTGGCCAATCAGATGCATTCTTTAATGCACTGCTTCCAAGGCTGTGAGAGCTAAGTGATTCCATGGCTGAATAATGAATGTCTTATATACCTGGATGTCTTTCAGTTTCTGCTTCTGAAATATATCAATGGTCTCTTCAAGTTGGTGGGTGGTACGGCTCGCATCCACAGAAGCTTTCTGCACATTTGTCTCAGCCTGAGGAATAGGAATGACAGGTTAGCCTTCAGCACAATTCCATAGTTACCCCAATCCAGGATCGCTTCCTGCCAAGACAAAAGTAAAGAGAATTGACTTAAAAAATTGATTCAGGGATGGTTCTACGCATAGGGCAAGTAGGTGGCCACACACATGGTATAATTTCTTAGACACCGAAAGTCTTCTCTCACTAAAAATCTCTCTTTCACTGGCCTGAGATTTGCACTATTGTAGATACCCTATCTATAATGGAGAGATGTACACATAGAATCTCAGAGTTAAAAGGGGTCTAAGGGAATATCTTTTTTTTTAACAGATGAGAAAACTGAGGTCCAGAGAAGAAAATTAACTTGCCCAAGGTCACACAAATAGGAAACAGAAGAGGCAGGATTCAAACCCAGGACCTCTGATTCCAAATCCAGCATTCTTATTACTATACCATAATTCATTACGCTACCTGGATAAAAAAATAAGACATCCACCAGCTAGAATTCGTTAGCAGGAATTATTAGGTTGGCTCATTATTTATCATCTATTTTTGCAGCCTGCTTTAGTGGAGAGAGAACTGCCTTCAAGGCCAGAAAATCCTGGGTTCAAGTCCTTCCCCTGACATGTGCTGGCCATGTGACTCTGGGCAACTCCCAACCTCTCAGAGCTCTAGGCAACTCTAAGCCTGTAAGGTACCAAGAAGGTGCCAATCTGCCATATATATATACTACCAAAATCATAAGTCTGGTCCTTCTCCCTTTGGTCTATTGACACATAGCCAGAGCAGGATCTAGATAGAAAAGAATTGAAATCCCCATTGGCATGGGCTGCCCCGTCTAAGCCTGGATTGTAATCCCTCTTCATCTCCATCTCATAGAATCACTCTCTTCAAGGACCACTTACTACCTGAAGCATTTACCAATTTCCCTCAGCTCCCAATGCCCTCTATCCCTAACAACTTCTTAAAAATTTTGTACTCACTCTATGTATATTTATTATGTATGTACTTATATAGTTACATGTTTTCTCCCCCAGTAGAATCCCTCAAGGGCAGGGATTGTTTCTTCTTTTTTTTTTTTGACTTTGTATCCCTAGCACCTAGCCCAGCCTAGTATACAATAGGTGCTTAACAAATGCTTGTTTATTGACTGATCTGTAGAATAAAGGGCTTGAACACATATTCAAGTTATGATATTCCCAGCATTTAGCACAGTTCCTGACATTCCATAAGTGCTTAATAAATGCTTATTTACTTGACATGGTTTAAATGTTCTCTAAGGTCTCAGCCTACCAACCAAAATGATCAATCCCAGATGAAGGGTGTCCTTTGAGGTCAGCAACTGAGTGTTTGTCTCACAGAATCTCAGAATTGGTAGGGCCCCTAGAGAGCTGCTAGTCCAGCCCCTTCATAATGGTACAAATGGGGAAACTGAGGCTGAGAGATGAAATGATGTACCCAATATCATGGGACCAAACCAGGGCTAGACTAAATCTCCTAGGACTATGCTCTTTCCATGACACCTTTGTGCTCAATAAACCTTTCTTGTTTCCTCTTGAGTTCTGTCCAGGCCTCATTATCTAATATTATGCTCACCTGTGGTTTGGCAGGGGGATTTATTACTGTTTCATAACAGCAGTGTCTCTACAGGTGCTACACCTACCTGGGACTGGGGGAAAAACCAGTTATTAAGGAAACTAAATTATAGGAGCAATCACAGAAGCTTTTAATGAGCCGGTATAAAGCAATACGAGGAAATTATTACAGCTATCCCTCATACAATGAAAAAAGTACACTCCTAAAACCAAAATGGAAATAGCACAGGATCATAGGTTTATTCAGTCGATCAGTCAATAAACATTTATTATATATTTATTCTGTGCCAAGAGCTGTGCTAAGCCCTATGGATACAGAATAACAGAAGAGAACATAAAAGGCAAAAACAGTCCTCGCTTTCAAAGAGCATCTGTTCTCACAGGGACAGGGGGAAGATATGTTGAAAAATGAAGCAATACAAGAAAGAGATAGAGTGGATGGAATGTGATCTGAGAGACATGGGCCACCTTTGGGCTGGAAGGGTGGCTAAGAAAGACCTCCCAGAGAAGGTAGGTTTCCAGATGAATCTTGGAGGAAGCCAGGGAAGTGAAGAGGTAGCAGTGAGGAGAGAGAACATTGCATGGGAGGAGGACAGTGCAAAGATATGGACCAGGAGATGGGAGTGTCGTGTAAAAGGAACAATAAGACCAGAGTGGCTGAAACATTGAGTACCTGGAAGGACATAAAGTGTAGGGAGACTGGAAAGGTAGGGAAGGACCAGGTTGGGAGGTATTTAAACGCCAAAAAAGAAAACTTTGTATTTTATTCTGGAGGTAATGGGAAGCCACTGGGACCTCACTGAACAAGGGGAGAGACATAGATAAAGAATCGTGGTAGCCGGGTGGAAGATGGATTAGAGGAACTTCAAAGACCATCATATCCAATCTCTTCATTTTCCTGATAAGGAACCCAAAGCCAAGAACAGAGAAGTGATGTATGCCCAAGATAACACCAGTAACTGGGTTCACATCTAGGTCCTTTGATTTCATATCAGGGGTATAGTGAACAGAACTTGGGGCTTGGAGACAGAAAGTCCTGAGTTCAAATCCTCCCTCTGACAGTTACTAGCTGTGGGACTCCATGCCAGTCATTTAATTTCAGTTACAGTTTCCTCATCTGTGAAATCAGGACAATAATAGCACCTACTTCATAGGGTCATTGAGTGAATGAGAGAATACAGCTTAGAACTGCCCTAAGATTTTTGAGACACTCTCTAAAGTGCTTTATAGACTTTAAAGAGCTATCTGAATGCTAGCTGTTATTGTTTTTGATATTATTATCACAATTACTCTTCTTTCTCCTCACTAACTTGAAGCTCCTATGGTTCTATATGGAAGGATACAATTGTGTGTCGGTCAGAAGGTGACTTCTGCCTCAGTCTTTCCAGTTTTTCTAGTTGTTTGATTTCGTTATTTCGGACCTTGTTGAATTTCTTGATCTCGGCCTAAATGAAACAGATTAGTAGTGCTTAGGATCCAGCATCACTGAACGCAGGAGAAAAGCATGAGACAAGGATAGGCGACCATCCATGGTGTCAGAAGTGTCCTCTCATACATACACGGGTTTGCTTTATCTGGATCCCATAGAGTCTCAGTGGATGGATGACCTTCATTTCAAATCTTTCCACCTAAAGAAGAAGGGAAAGTAAACATATGATTCACATGGAATTAGTGTAAAAAGTGATTAAAGGAAGGAAGGAAAGAAGGAAATAAATCTTTATTAAGTGTCTACTATGTGCTGGGTACTTATTTTAGCCTTAAATAAGCCTGGGTAGCTAATTTGCACAGTGGATAGAGTGCCAGATGGAATTATCTTCCTGAGTTCAAATTCAACTTCAGACACTTACTAGCTGTGTGACCCTGGGCAAGTCACTTCACCCTGTTTGCCTCAGTTTCCTCATTTGTAAAATGAGCTGGAAAAGAAAATGGCAAACCACTCCAGTATCTTTGCCAAGAAAACTCCAAATGGGGTCATGAAGAGTCAGACATGACTAAAAACAACTGAACAACCCTGGAAGGGAGGTGCTATTATTTTCTCCATTTTACAGTTGAGGAAACTGAGTCAGATAGAAGTTAAATGACTTGCCCAGTATCACACAGCTAGAAAGTGTCTAAAGCAACATTTGAACTCAGATCTCCCTGACTCCAGGCCCCGTGCTCTGTCTTCTGCACCACAGCGCCAATCCAGTCTATTATTGTAATATAGATAAGGCACAGAAAGAACTATAAGCTTGAGCTTTATTACAGTGTGATGGTATTTTATAAACTGTTTTCTTATCAGATAAGGGTTGATTTTTCTAGTGACAGACAGGAAACAATCTGAACAGAAGAGAATTACACACATAAAGGATTCAGAACTGAAAAGTATTTTTAACAGTTATATTCCAACCACCTCATTTTTACAGATGAAGAAACTGAGGACTGGAGAGATTAAATGATTTGACCAGAGTCACACGATTAATAAGTAACAGAGTTGAGATCGGAGCTATCATACTTGATCCAATATTCTTTCCACTATCTCATACTGACTGAACCAACCTATGCTCTGAGGATATAAAGCTCTTTCCTTAGGGCCATGTCATCTTTAAAGAATGTCTCCTTTTAGGCTCAAACTCAGATCCTCTGACTCTTAAGCCCATTGGAGAATGAGCATGGATGGCTAGAAAATGAATTATAATGAAGTAAACATCATAAAATTATGGAGTTGGGGGGAGGGGCAGGGGTAGAAGTCATGTGGTCCTCCCACCCATCAAAAGAATCTCTTCTGCAAAAACCTGACAGGCGATGTGTTTGAATACCTCCAGTGGCAGGCTGATCACCATCTCATAGTTCAGCCTGTTGCATTGTCCAACAGCTTAATTAATAAGTCATTCTTCATTTTACATTGATTCACAATCTATTTTCCTTCTGATTTCCACTCATTGTTCCTTGTTCTGCCTTCCTGGAGACTAGTGGAACACGTGCAATTACAGCTCTTCAGATGTTCCAAGGCAGTACCCTTGTCTCACACAGGTCTCTTTTCCAGGCTTGTTCAATCATTTCAGTCATGTGCTACTCTTTGTGACCCCATTTGGGGTTTTCTTGGCAAAGATACTGGAGGGGTTTGTCATTTCCTTCTCCTGGTCATTTGACAGATGAGGGAACTGAGGCAAACAGGGTGAAGTGACTTGACCAAGGTCACATAGCTAGTAAGTGTCTGAGGCCACATTCGAATTCAGGTCTTCCTGACTCCTGGCCCGGCGCTCTAGCCACTAGGGCACCACCTAGTGGCCCATCCTTTCCAGACCCAAAATTCCCAATTCCTTCAATTGGTTCTTTGCTTATTCCTCTCTAGTGCTTTAAATAAATCTATTTTATATTCAAGTTATTTGTGAACAAGTCCCACTTCCTTTGCCATAGAGCAGACTTGGAGACAGGAATTGGGGTTTAATTTTCTTTATATCGCTTCCCATACTTAGAGTTAGAAGGAACCTTATCCCTCACCTAATCCAACCCCTTCAGTTGGCAGATGAGGAAAGAAAGGTTAAGTGACCTGCCCAAAATCAAATAAGTAGCAAATGGAAGAGATGGAATTCAAATCCAGGTCCCAGGCATTTAGTAAGTACTCATTGAATATTCTAGACCCTTTGACAAATACCCATAAAATATTTATTGAGCATGTATTGAATACTTTCATTAATGAAGGTATATATTTTGGAGGAGACCTTAGGCAACTCATTTCTTCCTTTGTGCCTCCGTTTCCTCATCTGTAAAGTGAGGGAGCTGATCCATGAGGTTCCTTTTAGTGCTAACATTTTCAGGCTTTATGGCAAAGCTCTTTTGAAGCTATCAACTCTGATATGATATTTAAAAAAACCTTTTGAAATTGATCTACTTTCACAATAACATCTCATCTCTATAACCTGACATTTAAAGCCCCCCACACTCCAGTTCCCACTTATCTTTCCAGTCTTGTTTAATGTTATCATTCCCCTTCATAGATTCTCCATTTCAGCCAAATTGACCTATTAGCTGCTCTCAGTGTACGACATCCCATCTCCTGTGCTTTGGCCCAAGTAGCCTGGGGCATCCCTCTCCCTTCACCTCCATTGCATCAAATCACTGGCTTCCTTTGAAGTACCCCTCCGTCAGAGGCTTCTCTGGCTCATCCCCCGTTATTAGTATTTCCTCCCTCTTGCAATTACTTTGCATTTACTTCCCCCACCTGCACCCCCAAAAAGAGTGAAAGTTTTTTTGAAGCCTTTTATTTCTGTATATATATCTAGCAGCCAGCCCAGTGCCTTGCGCACAGTTGACACTTAATAAATGCTTTCTGAATAGAATTGTATTGAATCTTCATTGTGTTCCGGGTAGGCAGCTCATTAAATCTGGCATCTGGGGCAGGGACATAGGACTCACCTCGGCCTGCCGGTAATCCTGTACCTTGGCCAACTCCTCCACGAAGTTCTTCAGGGTGGTGCGCATTTCAGGATTCTCGGTATTGGCAAAATCCAAGAGTTGCTTGACGAGCAGGTCTGCTTTGTCTCGAAGTCCGGCTGTCTTCCGGGTGTAGGCAGCCAAGAGTACGCAGAACTGGCCAAAGTACTTCTCAGCATTGTTCACTGTGTTCTCCATCACCCGGACTTGGCCATCTCTGAAAAGACCAGCAGAGAGAGTTGACTTGGCATAGACAGCAATTGCAGAAATAGAACTAGAGTCTGAGTGACTTGGGTTCTGCCTGGTCCAATGCTCTTTCCATGATATCACAGTCTCTCTTAGAGGAACAATGATCCACCCTTACAGTAACATCAGATCCTGAAGGTGACTCCCCACTCCCTCCCCATCAGAACTTATGTATAAAATCTTTGCTGTTATTATACATTAGTCTCACAAAGATTTAAACTCATCTTTCCTTTAGTTACATTTAGAGAAAAAATCACAAAGTAGGTGAGGTTGGTCTTTGAACACCCTCCCACCTTCCTTTCTGTACCATCTTCTGAGCCACTTCTGCCATCTTGCAGATTGCCAGGCTCCCCTTTGCTGTTCTCTAGCAGCACTAAACTCCTTTTAAAATACCCCACCTCCACCTCTCCTTCATTTACTCTCAGTGCTCTGCATTACCTCTTCCTCTTGAATCTTCTCACCAAAACTGCTATTTCCTCAGCAAGTCTAATATCTACTAGCTGTTAGTGTGAACATTTAATCTGAGTACTTTCCTAACCCTCTCAAGGATATTGTATTTTATAATAACAGTAATCCTAAATCCAAAGTTTCATTCAAGGAATGGAGGTGATCCTAGGGTCTCAAAGCTATGTCATTGTCATATCAGCTCTAGTGGGATCTACCAAGCCAGAATGATATCAATATAATAATACAATAAATGCTTGCTTCGTTCTTTATTGAACAGGCATTTTTTCTGCCTACTATGTGTGCTAAGTGTTTTACAATTATGATCTCATTTGATTCTTATGACAACCTTATTCCCATTTTAAAACTGAAAAAACTGAGTTAGAGGTTATGTGACTTAACCAGGGTCACACATCTAGTAAGTATCTGAGGCCACATCTGAATTCAGGTCTTCTTGACTACAGAGTCAGCATTCTATCTACCACACTGCTTAGCCTCTAAGCATGGTCCTGGCAAGAGATTGTGTCTACTTTCCAAGTACTAACCCAGATAAGTATGGAGAGGCTCACCACCAGGAGGTTAATCACCAGGGGATATCTTCTTTGGCCATGGAAATCCATGAAACAAACGAGAGAAAAAAAATACACGATTGATGTTAGCCCTGCATGGTCTCCTTCAACTTCTGTAGTGATAGGAGTAGAGAAGAAGGAAAGGGAGCAGAGAAGGCAAATAACTATATAGTTTTTAAACTAATTCTAAAGATTATATCTAACAACCAGCAACCAAGATCATACCAGCAGCTGCTGGTACTCTAAATGTGAGATCCTTGTCTAATTGATTAACAAATTTTCATTCTACCGGAGGAATGGAGTCATGTCAATATTGAAACCACAAGTTATGAGGAAGGGGCTGATAAACAGAAGGATAACTCAGGGATTCTTGGAGAGGCAAATATAGGAGTTGGCCAAAATGCTTTTATCGCACATCCAAAGGCAGAGTTATTTTACAGGATGCCTGTTCGTCTGATGGTGTGGTGTTCACAGAGATGAAGATGATTGCAGTTAATATGCAGCTAATCTGTTGTGCGAGATGAAAAGAAAAATTCCATGAGAGACTTCATAAGACCCTCCAAACTAAGGCGACACATGCTTTAATACTTGGGGACTTAAATGCAAGAATAGGTACAGGGGAAATGGTGAAAAATATAATGGAAAAACCAAGTTTGTAAACTATAAAGTAGCCTTATGCCTATGTACCAGCAACATATTTTTTTCCCCAAGAACAGAGTTGAGAGGCACTGGTTTCAAATCCTGCCTCAGATACTTTATTAGTTATGTTACTCTGAGGGCAGGCAGGTGGCTTGGTAGAAAGAGTGGCAGGACTGGATTCAGAAGACCTGAGTTCAAATCGAATATCTGACACTTACTAGCTGTATGACCCCAGGCAAGTCACTTAACCCTGTCTGCCTCAGTTTCCTGCGCTGTAAAATGAACCGGAAAAGGAAATGGCAAACCACTCTAGTGTTTTTGCCAAGAAAACCCCAAATGGGATCAAGTCAGATAAGACTGAAAATGGCTGAATGACCACTGATTAGTTGATAATACTCACTTCCCAGATCAATTAAGATCATGTATCTAACATGCATTGTAAACCTGGAGAAATACAATGAAATCTGGGAAGACATGTGTGAACTGATGCCTAGTGAAGTGAGCAGAAGCAGAACAATTTATAGGATGACAGCAATATTATAAAGACAAACAGCTTTGAAAGATGTCAGCATACTAATCAACACAATGACCAAACAGCTGCAGAGGACCCATGATGAAACATGCTGCCCGTCTCCTGATAGAAAAGGATGGATTCAGTATGTGCATGCATGCATGTACCATGCATGTACGTGCACACACACATGTATATGTGTTGGCGCACAATACATTTCTACACATGCACACACGTGTGTGCATACATGTATATAACATACTCGTGTATGTACACACATAAACATACATACACATATGGGTATGCATGTATATAATCTATGTATGTGTATATGAGAGTGTGTGTGTGTGTGTGTGTGTATGTGTGTGTATGCAAAATTTTTTGGACATGGCCAATGAAGAAATTTTTTTTCTGCTTGAGTATCCATGTTTGTCACCAGTTTTATTTTTCTTGCATTCTTAATGGGAGAGAGAGGAAGAAAGAGAATATGGAGCTGAAAATAAATTTAATTAAAAAAAAGATATACTATGCCAATGTGAGTTACTGCGATAAGGCCATTCCTGGATACAACTACTCATCTCCCTTTCCTTTTTTCCCTCACTCTATTCTTTCCTCCTTTCCTTTCTTTTTCTTTAAATTCCACCTTGGACCTACTCACCTTTGTCTGGCAGGAGCCACCAATTTAGAAACATAGAATGTTCCAACCTTGAGAGGACCGTAGAGCGTAGACCTATGGGGGCAGGGTGCTAGGTACACAGTAGAAAGGACACTAGATTGTGGGTCAGAGGACACTATTTCCTACCTGTGTGACCTTGGGCAAATCACTTAATCTCTTGACTTCAGTTTCCTCTTCTATGAGTGAAGGGGTTGGGTTGCATGACCTCTAAAGTCCCTTGTAGCTCTAAATATAAGACTTTAGGGATCCAGTCCACCCCCCTCACTGGGAAGCTGAGCCCCAGAGAGGGGAATTAATTTGTCCAAGGTCCCAGAGCAAATGAATGTCAAAGCTGGGACTTGACGTCATACCTCCTGACTCCCAGTCCAATGTGTTTTCAATACTCCACGCCACATTTCATTCAGTAACAATGCTGAAAAGAGGCAATGGTCACAAGTAGGTGGAAATGATGGTCTTTCCAGAGCCTCAGCCCATCCCGTAATTTGACCTGATGTTTCTATTTGGGAAAAGAAAATGCCAGGAAAGCTAAAGTGTCTCGCTTCCAAGTCTCATAAGTTAACTAGGCCAAGAAGACGGCATGTGATCAAGGTCTATGTTAACATAATTCACCAGCTCTTATTTCCTGTTGTTATGTCTGCAGCCTTGTAAGACGCCTCTAAAACCAAAACACTGTCTTATTCCAAGGTTGGTAGTAAGCTGGTGCTTTGAATCAGCCTTAGATAAAGTGCTCGCTCTCTCTCTCTCTCTCTCTCTCTCTCTCTCTCTCTCTCTCTCTCTCTCTTTCTCTCTCTCACTCTCTCTGTCTTTTCTTCTCTTCCTTCCTCCCTCCTTTCCTCTTTCTTTCTCTCTCCCTCCCTTTCTCTTATCTCTCTCTCCCACTTTCTCCCTGTCTCTTTCTTACACGGAGTGGGGGGAAAGGGAAGAACTTGGGGCAGCATTTCCATTCCTCTTCTTTCATTCTTTGATGCAGCCAAACTGGCCTTCCGTCTATTCTTTCCAAATAATACTCCATTTCCCTTCACTCTACCTTTGCATTGACCATCCCTCATGCCCGGAATGCTCTCCTTCCTTACCTCTGCCTCAGAGATTACCCCCTTCTTTTGAGATACAGCTCAGGCACCATCTTCTGCAGGAATACTTTGCTGATCCCAATAGCTGATCCCTTTCCTCCCCAACTACCTTGTGTCTAATGACTGTATGTAATTGTGTTTATCCACTTCATATTTATTCAAGATACGTAGAAAACAGACACAAGGAAAAATAGATACAAGAGGGGAAGGCCTCTATACTCCTCACTTCCTGAAACTCTTGCCTGCCTTTTCCTACACTGCCTGAGATTCCACCAGGGAGGGTAATTTGGCCTAATAGTCTTCCTCTTATAAAGTGGTGGAGTGAAAAGAAAGGAGGAGATCTGGGTTTGGGTATTTTTATTATACATTTGCTGTGTCTCCCATTAGAATGCATCCTCTGTCCTCGCATCCTCAGAGCCCAGCACAGCGTCTGGCACACGTGCTGCTGTTATTACTGTTGTTCAGTCATTTCCCGCCATGTCTGACTCTTCCTGGGGGTTTCTTGGTAAAGATACTGGAGCGGTTTGCCACTTCTTCCTCCAGTTCATTTTACAGATGAGGAAACTGAGGCAAACAGGGTTAAGTGATTTGTCCTGGGTCACACAGCCAGCAAGAGCCCAAGGCCAGAGTACACAGTCAGTGCTTAATCAATACTTGTTGGTTTATTGATAGTGTAGCTTCATTATTTTCTTCTAAATGTTCCCAGTTCCTAGGCCATAATAAAACAGAATAGACCAGAATAGATCCAGAGAGAAGACACGTGATGTAATAGGATGCTCCTCGGACCTAGAAGGTCTAGGTTTTGAATCTTGGCTCTATTAATATGACATCTACTATGTGACCTTGGGCAAGTCACCTTCCCATCTCTTCCTCTTCTGGGCAATGAGGGGGTTGGAATTCGAGTCAATCAACAGTGTTTACAGCTGCCTCATCTGTGGCAGGTACTACGCTAGTGCTGAGGATGCAAGTACAAAGAATGAAATAATGAACTCTAAGGCCCTCTCCAGCTTTAAATCCCGTGACACTTCCGGTTGACACTCAGTACAAAAGATTTGGGGGCCATCTACCCGCAATGACATGGAATAAGGCAGTTGCTGCGTTGCTCAGGCCAACCGTCTGAGGCGTCTGAGGAGGCTGCTTTGGGATGTAGTTGCCATGGAATCTGGCCGACGGGCCTCACGGTCGTCTTATCAGGGAGTGATTACAGGCAGGCAGACGTGTGATTACAGTGTGGGCAGAAAACACCGGCTCACGCTACTCACATGCCCAGATTCACATATGTGTAGCTGGAAGGGGCGCCCACCTCTGTGGCATACCCAAATTTTCAGCTGCCCACTGGTGCTGCTTATCTGGGGAGCATCATAGAATCAATACATCTAAAGCAGAAGTGATCGTATTTTCTCCCCAAACATTCTGTCTTTTGACTCCCCTATTTGTCAATGGCACCCCCTCATCGGTTTTTTCCTCAATCCAGTCATGGCTATCTTCTTGCCATGACACCTGTTCTCCAGCGATTATCCTCCCCTCACTCCCAACAGAGCCTTGGACTCCATTTCCAAGTCCACCAGCTCTGACCGGCGAGCTTTTGTCTTGTTCTTGCCAGGACCCGGGCCTCTGTGCCACTTCCTGGCTGTCTCCTCATCATGGCCTTTCAGACATCTTGAACTGGATATCCAGTAGACATCTTAAATTCCACATGCCCGAAGCAGAGCTCATTATCTTTCCCTCTCAACCTTCCTCCCCTCTTACCTCCCCTGTTCCTGTGCAGGGCAATACCATCTTCCCACCCCCTTGGGCTCACAACTAGGTGTCACCCCCTACTCTTCACTGTCCCTCAGCTCCCATACCCAAGCTGTTGCTAGGGTCTGTTGATTTCTCCTCTTCAGTATCTCTCAGATACTCCCCTTTCTCTCCTCTGACACTGTCACCGATCTAATCCTGGCCCTTGTTACCTCACACCTGGATTATGGTAAAAGCTGCTGGTGGGTCTGCCTGCCTCATATCTCTCCCCACTCCAGTCCATCCTGTAATCAGCCCCTAAAGTGACTTTGTTAAAGTGCAGCTCTGACCATGTCTTCCCCCTACTCAATAAACCCCAGTGGCTCACTATTGCCTCCAGGATGAAATACAAAATC